CTACGCCTCGCAGCGTGCAGACGAAAGTTCCTGTCTAGGACAGGCTAGCTCACGCGGACGCCACGCAGAGTATGTGTTACTATCTTCAGATGTTGGAGCCAAATTGCCAGCCTTGTGACGTGAGATGTGGTGTTTGGATTCGGCCTCAAGCACTGGAAGGCCTACAACAACAAATCCGAATGAAAACTGTGGTCCTAAGACACGCGGTGCAGCTGCTTATACGTGGCACCGCGGGGGTCACAAAGAGATAGAGGGCTTGCCAGCAGGGGAACTCTGTCTAAAGAGAGCCCTGGCTCAGTGAGGAGCTGAGGGCCTGGCTGCGCTGATGCAGCGGAATGGTTGTTCGGCCTCGCCTCCGCTGAGGGAACAACAGTCAATGCTTCTCTGCAGTGTCGGTCCGGGTTAGTAAGAGCGAGAACGCCGGGACCTCGAGCTGCAGTTTTACCATGAAGCAACCGCGTGAGATGCATTATTGGTCAACTGGTGAGTAAGAGCGAGAAAGCCAGGGTGACGCTACTTTGGGGGAGGCTGCAAGGCACGGTTAGTAAGTGCGAGAAAGCCGGAGCTGCGGACGAACCTGGAGTAGCAGTCTTTCATACCTCACGTGTTTCACTTTGCGGCCTCGCATGCGCTGAGGAAATATGCCTCGAACAGAACATCCAGTGCTGAGTGGGGATTGCCAAACTTACGGAGGCTGATGCCACAACAAGTGCCTCAACAGCAATGCATGCGGAGGGCAAAGTTCGGCCTCGCGAGTGCTGAGGGTTGCAGCTGAGAGAGGGCCTAGCTGAGAACGCAACACCTCAAGCGAGGTAATTTTTAGTTTAGTTTCACCTTGACCAACGGCCCCTTCGGGTGGCTACGCGACGCAGCGTGCAGACGAAAGTTCCTGTCTATTGATAGAAGACAACCGCAGCCCAGCAGTGCTCAATCACACAAAGCAATCATTCGGCCTCGACTTAGGTCTGAGGGAATGTGAGATATGGAAAGAGCAAACTCCAGAATATGGATAAAGGAAACTGGCCAGGCATGGTGGCCAGCAAAGAGCAGGTACCAGCATTGCACTGGAGAAGCCTCCAGTCCAAATGGCAGTGAACTTTGTGGTGAGGAATACGTCGACTGGTGAGTAAGTGCGAGAAAGCCAGGGCGATTCTGGGGAGAACAGCAAGGCACGGTTAGTAAGTGCGAGAACACCGGAGCTGCTGAGAACCCTGGATTAGCCGGGACGTACTCCGTGAAGGATTCGTTGTCACTGCTTTCAGAAATGCCCACAAGGACCAAGCATGCAGCTAACCCGTGGTTGCAGAGTGGGCCTCACTTCGGTTGAGGGTAATCGACTCCCAAGTGAGAGTATGGAGTTTTGGTGGCAAACAAGAGAGCCAGCCGACTGTCTTTGGAACAATGGCTACGGCTGGATTGGAGAATGTCAAGTCTCACAATGGATAGCGGCCTCGTACATAATATCCTCACAGGCAGGGTTTGACCTGGTAGTCGGCACCTTGCCCGGCCCCCTGTCAGGCGCCTGTACCGGCCACCTGTTGAAGGTGTGTGGCGTGGGGTCACCGGTGCGTAGCGGCGATTTCGGTCGCTTAGCGTCCTCCGGCCTAAAAAGGGGTATGTTTGGGCAGGTACTTCACCTGTTCCTCCTGCTTGGCTCGTGTTGGAGATGTGTGAATCGAGGGCATGGATCCGTCAAGGTGAGATGACGTGAAAGTGCAGAATTGGGCCTCAATCGGAACGGTCTATGTATGGGGATTGACCACCCCGCCGGTAGAGGGATAGCGGCCTCTGAGAATCGGAGGGCATGGATCACCTCCCGGCAAAAGCCACAGGAAGTTTGCCCTGTGCATCAAGAGGCAGCCACCGTAACCAGAGTCCATGAAGCCTTGGGCCATGACCTGGTTTGAAGACATGTCTGGCCTCACTACGGTTGAGGGGTGTGGATGGAAGCACTCAGGACATGCAATGAGACTCGTAGAACGAGCATCTGGGTCTACAGGAATGACCTCCATTCGGTTGAGGGATAGCGGCCTCCACGAACGAGGGCATGGATCACCTCCCGAATAGACAACACAGAGAATGTGCAAGCATACAGGCAATTTGCCTTGGTCAAAGTCTTCAAGCCAATGGCAACGACTTGGTCAAAACGACATTCCGGCCTCACTTCGGTTGAGGGTAGCGGTACGTCAAAACCGAGGACAAGGAATGAGAGGGGGAACTTGCCGGCAGTTTCACCCCACAGTTTTAGTAAGCTTTTGTTTCACTTGAACCCACAGCCCCTTCGGGTGGCTACGCCTCGCAGCGTGCAGACGAAAGTTCCTGTCTGGCTCAAGGTTTCGGCTCAACCCCGGTGGGGTGCTCAGGTAGAGAGCGTCTTTAGTGCCGTTGTGGCTGGCCCTGGGGCTTGTAACTAAGGGTAGGTTCCGTTTTGAGGCCCTGGCAAAACTGTGTTTGCTCGTAGGCCGGCTGACCGGCTAAGCTGTCATAGAGCGGCGGCCCGCCAACTGCTGCCGTCGACGAAGGGCGTGAGTGCACAGTTTTCGGCCTCGCTTCGCTAGAGGGAAGCTTTTCGTCCTCGCGTTGCTGAGGGAACCTTGTGGCCTACAGTCTGCTCTGGGTCACAGTGAGAGTTGCAGCCTCGCATTGCTTGAGGGGTGACGCAAGCCTGTTGCTCACCAGAGATTCCTGCTGTCTCTGGGTGAGCAAAACCCACCGACCCTCATTTGGATTGAGGGCTGTGCTGAAGGTGAGTTTGGGTTCCTCGCTCACTTGTGTGGAAAACGAAGGTGAGACCGAAACACGGGGGAAAACGGCCAGGCACGCTGCAGACAGTGCAGGCCAACGTCGCACTGCAAGAGGCATCCTTGCAGTGGCGACAGGAGTGTCCCGACCAATTGCGGTGTGCTCGAGCCCAAGCTTGCAGGTTTTCGGGGATCTGCAAGCTGAGCACAACAGGATTTTCTTCGCAGGTAGAATCAGGTAGAAAAGAATTGGCCCAACCCTGGTGGATCTGCCTGGACATAAATAACCAGAGGCATCAGTGTCGTAAAGCTCATTGACTGGTGCTACTGAGAAACCGTTGCCAAGGAACTTGCAGTAGGACTGTGGTGCGGCGCAGTGCAAGTTGAGAGCAGCTGGTGGTGGCTGCTCCCCGGAAAACCAATAGTCCAAGAAGCCTCCTTCGGCCTCGCTCCGTGCTGAGGGTTTGTAAGGGTTGGTATTGGCCGGAAAGGATTCAGATGGAGGTTACCCGAACTTCGCGCTTTTCCCATCTGAAGGCAACCAATGGTAATCAGCCTGCTGGACATGGCAGGCCTGCTTTTGTTTACATCCACGTCTCCTGCAAGGGCTGGGGTCTGTCCGTGCACACAGACAAGGCGGAACCTTGCAGATGTTTAGGTCCTCGCGGCACGGCCGCTGGAGGTTGTTTGAAGATGTTGGCTCTCACTATCTGGTGAGTGGTTTGAATGGGCACTTGCTGGGGCAAGGCGGCTCTGGCGTCTGAAGATGGTACATGTGCTGGCTGCTGAGTACGGGCCACCGAAAGAGACCTGTGGTAAGACAAGCGATGAAAGGAGCCGAACTCCTAAACTCTAGGACAGGCTAGCTCACGCGGACGCCACGCAGAGTATGCGTCACTATCTTCAGATGTTGGAGTGACGTGAGATGTGGTGTTTGGATTCGGCCTCAAGCACTGGAAGGCCTACAACAACAAATCCGAATGAAAACTGTGGTCCTAAGACACGCGGAGCAGCTGCTTATACGTGGCACCGCGGGGGTCACATAGAGATAGAGGGCTTGCCAGCAAGGGAACTCTGTCTCGAGAGAGCCCTGGCTCAGTGAGGAGCTGAGGGCCTGGCTGCGCAGATGCAGCGGAATGGTTGTTCGGCCTCGCCTCCGCTGAGGGAACAACTGTCAATGCTTCTCTGCAGTATCGGTCCGGGTTAGTAAGAGCGAGAACGCCGGGACCTCGAGCTGCAGTTTTACCATGAAGCAACCGCGTGAGATGCATTATTGGTCAACTGGTGAGTAAGAGCGAGAAAGCCAGGGTGACGCTACTTTGGGGGAGGCTGCAAGGCACGGTTAGTAAGTGCGAGAAAGCCGGAGCTGCGGACGAACCTGGAGTAGCAGTCTTTCATACCTCACGTGTTTCACTTTGCGGCCTCGCATGCGCTGAGGAATATGCCTCGAACAGAACATCCAGTGCTGAGTGGGGATTGCCAAACTTACGGAGGCTGATGCCACAACAAGTGCCTCAACAGCAATGCATGCGGAGGGCAAAGTTCGGCCTCGCGAGTGCTGAGGGTTGCAGCTGAGAGAGGGCCTAGCTGAGAACGCAACACCTCAAGCGAGGTAATTTTTAGTTTAGTTTCACCTTGACCAACGGCCCCTTCGGGTGGCTACGCCTCGCAGCGTGCAGACGAAAGTTCCTGTCTGGCTCAAGGCGAAGTAGCTGAGCGAGTAGCTGTGAACCTGGGTTCTGGGCCTCAACTGGGTTAAGGTACCAGGCACTCTTTGTTTTCGGCCTATTCGCTTAAGCCATACTGTGCCTGAGCACCCACCCGGCCTCTGGGCTGTGGCTGCATATCACTCACCCAGCCTTAGGGCTGTGGCTGCATTGCACTCACCCAGCCTCAGGGCTCGGGCCTGTTTTCTCCCGGCCTTAGGGCTGTGGTCCTCCAAACCCACGGCGGGCAGAGAGCGATCCCGCACCCCTGAGGTGCAGCGCTTTGGGGTAGCCGAGAGGGTGCCCTTGGAGGACTCGATCAGGTCCTATTTGCAAGCCGAGTTTGAGGAACAGCCCAGTGCCCGTGACCTCACAGGCAGAGGGTCACAAACCAACTCCGTGCTTTGGCTCGCTGGTCCAAGACCCGGAACGACTGGATTGCCGACGCCGGGAAACTTTTGTCGGAGGCTCGCCGGCAGAGGTGGTGTGCCGAACTCAACAAGTCCAACATCTGAGCCCAGCCTTTAGGGCTCGGGGCCTCTTCACAGTCACCATGGCTGGTGGACGTTACCACGTTTGCAAGAAGTGCGGCCCGGCCAGCTGGATCTTCGCGGCAAAGGTGCCCAAGTTCCCCAAGTGTCAGTGGTGCGGAACTAAGTGGCCAACGGATGTGCCCACCCCCAAGATCTGGTCCAAGCCGGAGCCGAAGCCCCGACCTCGCAAGCCCAAGACCAACAAGGTCCATGACTGCTTGCGGAAGGTATGGGACACTCTTCCTGAAGAGGCCTGTGTGCAGCTGAAAGAGGCTGGGTTTGAAGCCAAGCCGGCTCGCACTGAGGATGTGGATCTTGTTGCTCTCCTGCAGCAGCATGTCGGAGACCTTCCCCAGGTCATCGTGGACGCCCTGCCGGCTACCCCAACCCCGGACCCTCGCCAGGAGGGAAAAGAGGCTGGGGATGTTCTTCGCAGCTCGGTTGGCAAGCTCCGTGATCTGGGCCAGAGGAAACTGAGACTGCAGGAGGAGATCGACACAGCCAAGGACAACTTGCGAGCAATGCTTCACAAGATGCAGGACATCCAGAATGCCATCGAGGAGGCAAAGGTGGAAGTCGCGAAGACCACCAAGGAATATGAAGACAAGGTGGTCAAGCATTGCGCGGAAGAGGTCAACAATGGAGTGGAATCTGTTCTGCAGGCTTTGGGCATGCAAGAGGCCAGCCTTACCGAAGAGCAAAAGAGGAAGCTGGAAGCTCTTAAGTCCGATGAAGCCAAGCGCAGACGCATGCAGGTCGATCCAGGCCTTCCCCCGGGTCTGCCACCCTCGCAGGCCTCGGTGATGCAGCACGAGGCCGAAGCCGAACCCCGCCAGGGGGAGCAGTGGGGGGCCAGGCCCCGGGTCTGGCATCGCAGACGGGTTAGGGAGCTGGGTTCGGGGCTTGTAGGGCGCTGGGGGTTTTGGATTCCAGGGATAACCTGTTCTCCCCGCACTTGTCCGCGTCGTCCCTCTCCCCGACAACCCGTGTCTTTCCCCTTGGTCAAAATTTTGTCACCTTGCCCGAGACGTTTTGCCAATCCCCTTCCCAAGCAGATGTCTTCAGTCTTAGCTGTTGTGAGGTCTGCAGGTGTCAGGCCGGGGAGGACCCGTGTCACACCCTTTTCCAGGTTGGGGATGGTCTCGCGCTTGCAGTTTTGTGTCGGCTGTGCCGAGGATGGGCCTCCCATGAATGTGCCGTGGTGCCTGCGTGTCAGGGTTGCCTGGTGGAGCTTCCAACATACACCCGGTCATCAAGACATGCGGTTCTGTGTGGCATGTGTCAGGGTCAGCCCCTCCAGAAGGAGTGGGATTCAGGATTGGGGCAGGTTTCGCTTGGAGCGGAATGTGTACCAGCAAAAGATCCCTCACCAGTTCCAATTTCTTTAGCAGCGCTATGCCAATATGAGGTGGTCCACCATCCTTTGGTGACGGGGCCGAGGTATTTTCCTCTGGAGGCTTCGTGCGACATGCAGTTGTATGAAACCCCCAGTACTTCTACTCCCCTCGTCTTAGGAGGTGGATCCCGACCCACAGGTACCCAGTCGTCTTGTCGCAGCAGAAGAACCCGACGACGTCGCAACAGGACGGCCCGGCCTCTCAAGGCTAGGGAGCCTTTGGATTCAGCTATCGTAGCCTGGAACACTATGAACCCGCATGAAAAGATGGACAAGTGGGGCCAGTTAGCGGGTTTGGTGTCCAGGGGTTTTCAGCAGGGCTTTCCTTCTGTGGAGTCTAACATGGTAGGCCTTTTCGAAGATGACGAACCCACCGACCCCTTGACCTTGGAGTATTTGGTGGTCCACAAAATGTTTCAGGCCCTTGCTTCCCCCAGCCCAAGCCCAAGTGACTGGGTTTTTGTCCTTCGAGGCTCGGAGGATCTTTCGGCAAACTCTTACGAAGCTAAACCTAGGAATCTCAAGGTCTGTTCGGCCAACGTCACCCGATGGCGGTCGAGTCACCGGAAATGGGCCCACACCTTGTCCCCGGACATTCTTATGCTGCAAGAACTTCACCTTACCAAAGAGGACCTTAAGATTGAGACTCGTCACTTGATGAATCTAGGGTTTGTGCTCTTTGGTGTTGCTAGCCCGAAAAGTGCCAAGGGTAACCCCCTAGGAGGTGTAGGGATTGCAGTCAAAAATCACTTGGGACCCAGGATCATAGTGACTTTCCACGCCTCGCAGGGCTGTGGCTATGTTATTGTGGCTTTGCGTTCCAAAGGGGTAGATTTCAATTGGATCTCCTTGTACCTGGAAAGTGGGACGGGCTTGGATAGCCCAGTCAATGACCTTATCCTGTCCAGCCTTACCCAACATTTGTCCCTCCTTCAAGGCATGTGGGTGGTTGGAGGGGACTTTAACGTTCCGATCCAGGACTTCCTTAACTCCAGGTATGAAGAAAGGTGGCAGGGCCGTGTGGTGGGCAGTGGGTCCCCCACGGCGGGAGGGGACTCCGAGCTTGACTTCTTCGTCGTCCATCCCAGTCTTCACTCCCTGTCGACGGTCCGGCTGTCATTTGACACTCCTTTCAAGCCGCACGGACTTCTAACCTTGGACGTGCCAGTGCACTCCCTTCAGCTGAGAGTCCCCACCATCAGGTCGGTGGTGTCCCCGGCTCCCTCCTCCTTCCACGCCAGCTCCCCAGTCCAGCTGGTCCAGATTTTGGATGTGTCGTGCCAGGAGGAGTCCTCTATTGCCTTGGGCCAATGGTCCCGCGACCTCCAGTCGGAGGCCCAGGCCACCACAGGAAAGGGCTGGTGGGTCGACCTTCCCCGCAGGCCGTTGGCCTCGCACCCAGTTGGAGGAGGTGCCTGGACAGGAGGGCCTATGGCTATCTGGGATAGATGGCGCACCTGGCTTCAGACAGGGATGGTCCCTAAATCCTCCGAGGCCTTTGCCTCCATCCCTCCGGACGACCCCCTTCTTCCCGTCCTGAAGGACTGGGTTCACGCTGATGACCGCAGCAGCCTTACTCCAAGTGGCTGGAAGAGGCGCAAAATGATCACCTCCGCCCCCTTTACCGCTCCCTTCGAGCTGACGAGCAAACCTTGGAACGGCCGTATCGGGAGTTCACTCCCCCCCTATAAGCGGCTAGAATTTTGGTGTGAGGTATGGCAGGGTAACCTGGTGTCGCCAGCCGCGCTCCAGGGGGAAGTGTGGGACGCCTTGTGTGACTTAGCCCGGGAGCAGGTCCGTTCCCTGCCCAAGCATTCTGCTAGCTCCGTCGCCAAGATATGCGCCGCAAAAAATCCCAAAAAAGGAGGCCCGGACGGCTGGGATTTCAACGATCTTCGGGACCTGCCTCGGGACGCGTATGCAGTCCTCGCCGACGCCTTCAACAAAATGGAGGAGGACCTTGTCATTCCCCTCCAAGTTTCCCAGGTCCAGATTGTTCTTCTGGCCAAGAGTGCCTTGAAGGAAAGACCTATCGGTCTTACATCAGTCCTATGGCGGCTTTGGTGTAAGACTCGGCGGTTCTTGGTCGGCCAGTGGCTGGACTCTTACATTCCTGATCACCCTTTTGACTCGGCGATTCCAGGCCGTACCTCGTTAGACGTTGCCCTGGCCAGGAAATGCTCCAAAGAGTCTGCCAGAGTCAAGGGCTTGCACACTGTCTCGTTGTTCGTAGACATTAATGGGTTTTACGACAGCGTTTCTTGGCAGAGGCTTTGCGAACAAGGCTTGCGGTTGTCTTTCCCAGCCTTGGCCCTGTGCCTCTCCCTTCGCCTCTACCAAGGTGGTCGCACGGTGGTGGGTGAATCCCAGCCTAGTCCAACCATCTTCCCAGGCCGGGGCATGATCCAGGGATGCCCGTATGCTCCCACCTTGGCCAAGCTTACCATGTCCGAACCCTTACATAGACTGAAACGAGTCACAGGCTTGGATCATTGCGACGTATGGTTGGACGATGTGGCAGATTCCCTCCACGCCTCGCCGGATATAGCCGCGGGAGCGGCTTATGAAGCCTTTCGAGTGCTCAAGTCCAGTCTTCAGGCTGAAGGTCTCGTCCTCAGCCAAGAGAAAACGAAATTTGTGGCCGGAACACCCCGCTCAGCTGCGGCGCTGCGAAAGCTGTTGCGGCCAGGGGACCCTGACTTAGTCGACGTGGTCAAGGATTTAGGCCTTGACAGTGGCAGTGGACGCCGGCGCAGGACCACTACTGCCCAGAAACGCTTCCGGGTAGGTGGCCTCCGTAACCTGAAGTTGGGTAAGCTTCGCATTCCGTCACGCCGTGTCCGGCTGCGGTTGCATCGTTCTAGTCTAGTCACTTCGGGTCTTTATGGCCATGAAGCACAGGGGGTCGCCCCTAAACATATGAAAACTATGCGCGCAGCGGTGGCCCGACACACAGGCAGGAGCCGATACGGTTCAACGGACACCATCCTAGACATGACAGCCCATGAGGTTCAGGATCCTTACCTTATTGTGGTGACCCAGCATGTGGAAAGTCTCTTCAGGATGATGGCCAGATGCAACCGCATGGGCTGGGAGGCAGTAAAGGACACTTGGAGAGTGGTCTGGAAGCGGCTGGAGGCTGCGAAGCACGGCTGGTCCGTGGTCACCGGACCCATCTCAGCCATGTGTCAATACCTCCGCGACCTCCAGGTCGACGGCCACGATCCTTCCCGCTGGGTTTTTGAGGAGCGTGTTCTTGAGATCAAGCCTTCTGAGGTTTCGGTTGTCTGCCAAACCTCGTCCTTCCTCACGGACATCATCAAGACCCAGAGGTCTCGTCGCATGGGATCGGCCTCGTCGGCAGCGGGTGCTGGTGGCGGGGTCGACTGGACCGTCCCGCGTCGCCTGCTCAAGTCAGTGCGCGCTAAAACTACCCGGTACGCTTACCGGGCGGTTTTCCAAGGGTCCATTCTCCATAACGGCAACGGTGGCAAGGATGTCTGTAAGTTTTGTGGTGATTCCGGAACCACCTTGCGCCACCTCATGTATGAGTGCCCTTCCTTCCCCGGTGGCATGCGGTTACCAGGGTATGTTCTGGCGGAGAAGCGCCGTTTCCCTGAGGACTGCCTGTGGCTTCGGGGTATGCTTCCCCTTAAATACCTCCCAGTCGCTCCCTCGGGGGACCTAGAAGTGGTCAAGACAGGCGTGTTTCTTACGTCCTCCCAGGTAGTAGCAGACGGGCTGGTGGTTGCTACGGACGCGTCAGGGGGCATGTTCACCAAGGATCCGAGATTGCGAAGGGTGAGCTGGTCTGTAGTCGTGGGGCGGGTTCAAAATGGTCAGTTTCAGGAGTTAGGAACCATGTCCGGCCTCACCCCCCCCGGAACAAGCGTCGCGCACGGTGAATCTTTTGCCATTGTGCAGACGATCAAACACACCCTTGGTCAGGTTGACCTCACGGGGGACTGTAAACCAGCCCTAAGGACCCTTTCCAAAAAATCCTTTCAAAAAACGACCCCGGCTTTTTGGGGCCCGGTCTGGGAGGACCGCGGTAGGATAAGGCCCACTTGGGTAAAATCCCACCTAACTAGCCGTGAGTTCGAAATGCGGTTTGGCTTTTCCCAGCTTTGGAGACACCAGGCCAACCAATGTGCGGACGAGTTGGCAGGCAAACGAGCTGCCACCATCTCGCCTGTAGCGGGGTGGAAAGTCCAGGACCTGGATAGGCTTGTAACCAGGATCTGTGACTACCTGGCGTCGCGAGCTGTGGTTGTTTTGAAACACGCCTCAAAAGATGATTTTGTTCCCCGAAGCCAAAGAGAGGAACCCCAACCACCCACAGGGCCTAATAAGCGCCAGCTTTTGCTGGCAAAAGTGGATGTCCCGGAAGCAGTAGGTGGTCATGTCTGGCAAGTAGGGGGGTTGAAAACTAATAATCTTGCAATCACTTGTGCGAAGTGTAAGCTTTACCTCCAGCAGGTTCATGAGATGGATAGGCTAGAACGTTTGCTTGCGCAGCCGTGCATTGACATGCCCCATAACGGTCCCCAGTTCTGGCCTACCCTCCACCCGACGCACCGGCTCAAAAATGAGGGACGTAGATGGCTGTGCTCCGGGTGCCATCTTACCCTTCATGCCCAGGCCTCGGTTTCCACGCCTCCTGGGCGGCCGGACTCTCCAGGGTCTTCTTCAGCTCTAAAGGAAGTGGCTTCCCTTCCTAAGGCTGCAGCTTTGCACGTGTCTGAGGTGGGGCCTGGCAAGACAAAGGAAGTGGTTTCCCTTCCTGGCACCAGTGCACGCGCCGCCGGGCCTGCCAGGGAGCCTGCCCCAAAGCCGGCCAGCCGTGCCAAAAAGAAGAAAGAGCTTCCCTCAGGTCAGCAGACCCTTCGCTTCAAGAAGCAGTGATGGGGGCTCAAAGGGCAGGGGTCGTGGCCCCTTTTGGCGCGAGCAGCGCCAACGAATGGCAGAGGGGAAGTCGTGGCGTTCCACGGCAACCCTCCAGCATTCCAAGCGACGACCCCCACCCCACATCCGCAGGCGCACCCCTCCCTGAGGAGGCGGCTCCTGGTGGTTCCAGCTCTTCGGCTCAACCGGCGGCGAAGGCATGGCCGCCTCCCCCCCCGCCGGCTCCTCGGCGTGACCGTCGGCGCTCTCCTTCCCCTCGCCTGGTCTTGCGCTCAGTGGACAGAAGCCCTACACCGCCCACCCCTCCGCAAAGGAGGAGGCCTCAGGCAGCAGGGTCCGGTGTGGAATTGCGTTCGGTTCCGTGCAATTCAACACGTTCCCCTCCACCTGGGAGGCGGTCAGAGGAGGCTAGGTCCAGCCGTGACCCTCCCAACCAGCATGCACGGCCCAGATCCCCCTCGGAGGCACGGGCTCGGCCCCCTGCAGACCCAGCCCATGAGGCTGAGGAGTCCCCCTGGGGCCGGCGGCAACGCATGCGCAGGGAGGCGCAGGACTTTACCCCGGGTGTGCACGCGGCTGGTGAAGCAGCAAGTTACATCAAGCGGCCCACCTCGCCTCCGCACTTCCTCCCTCCGGAGCTCACACTTACGTGGGACCCGATTCGGCAGGTTGTGGTGGAAGCCCGAGTTCTCCCGCGCCTGGGCTGGGGACAAAGCCGTGTAGGCTACCAGCTGTCTCAGGCGTTAGTCTTGAAGCTCACGGATGATGCATCCCTGAACGGCCCGGAGATCGAGATGGCGCGGCGCTTTCCCCGGCTCATGGCTCCCATCCTCACCAGTGGCTCCATGTGGATTGGGCTAGGACCCGAAGGTGTGCCAGCTGTACCACGTGCAAGAGCACCGTTGCCAGGCCCGTGAGTGGCTCCAGGAAAATGCTGCCAATGGTCTCCGTGTGCACTCCTACCTTCTGGCCACGTTGGCCACCTTGTTGCACTTGTATGTCTGTGGGGTAGATGCCAAGGATGTTGGCATTTCCAACCTGAGCCACAGGCCGCAGGGCACGAGGATGGTTCCCCTTCCGGCCTTCATCGATGCCAACAACTGGGGGCCGGAATGGACTGGCTTTTGGAGGGTAGTAGCCAAATACTGCCCCCATGATGCGGGCTACTTTCGGCAAGTTTCCAGGGGTCCACCCCAGGCGTGTTTTGACCAGATATGTAACACCCTGGGACCCTTGGGGGAAGAAGTTCGCTGGCTGTGCACCACCCCGGCCTAGGAGGCTGTGGAAACAGAGCTGCTCCACTGGGGGCATCCAGTTTCCCAGCCTTTGGGCTGAGGTCGCAACTCCTTCCTGCTGAGTAGCTGTGGCAGTAGCTGTAACATAGTTCCCTGTAGATGGCCTGTGGGTGCACCACTTCCCAGCTTTTGAGCTGTGGTTTTGCCGTAGCAGGGTGACCGACTGCCCGAGAGACTATGTCTCGCCCCAAAGGGGCTCCGGGCGAATTCGTTTGCATGAAGGACACCCACTGGGTAACGCTCTCGCGCTTGCTGAAGAAAGTTCCTGTCTGGCTCAAGTTTCTGCTCAAACCCCGGTGGGGTAGGCGAAGTAGCTGAGCGAGTAGCTGTGAACCTGGGTTCTGGGCCTCAACTGGGTTAAGGTACCAGGCCCCTTTGTTTTCGGCCTATTTGCTTGAGCCATACTGTGCCTGAGCACCCACCCGGCCTTTGGGCTGTGGCTGCATAGCACTCACCCAGCCTCAGGGCTGCGGCTGCATTGCACTCACCCAGCCCCAGGGCTCGGGCCTGTTTTCTCCCGGCCTTAGGGCTGCGGTCCTCCAAACCCACGGCGGGAAGAGAGCGATCCCGCACCCCTGAGGTGCAGCGGGGTAGCCGAGAGGGTGCCCTTGGAGGACTCGATCAGGTCCTATCTGCAAGCCGAGTTTGAGGAACAGCCCAGTGCCCGGGACCTCACACCGGGGCAGAGGGTAACAAACCAACTCCGTGCTTTGGCTCGCTGGTCCAAGACCCGGAACGATTGGATTGCCGACGCCGGGAAACTTTTGTCGGAGGCTCGCCTAAGACCAACAAGGTTCACGACTGCTTGCGGAAGGTATGGGATACTCTTCCTGAAGAGGCCTGTGTGCAGCTGAAAGAAGCAGGGTTTGAAGCCAAGCCGGCTCGCGCAGAGGATGTGGATCTTGTTGCTCTCCTGCAGCAGCATGTCGGAGACCTTCCCCAGGTCATCGTGGATGCCCTGCCGGCTACCCCAACCCCGGACCCTCGCCAGGAGGGCAAAGAGGCTGGGGATGTTCTTCGCAGTTCGGTTGGCAAGCTCCGTGATCTGGGCCAGAGGAAACTGAGACTGCAGGAGGAGATCGACACACGGACAACTTGCGAGCAATGCTTCACAAGATGCAGGACATCCAGAATGCCATCGAGGAGGCAAAGGTGGAAGTCGCGAAGACCACCAAGGAATATGAAGACAAGGTGGTCAAGCATTGCGCGGAAGAGGTCAACAATGGAGTGGAATCTGTCCTGCAGGCTTTGGGCATGCAAGAGGCCAGCCTTACCGAAGAGCAAAAGAGGAAGCTGGAAGCTCTTAAGTCCGATGAAGCCAAGCGCAGACGCATGCAGGTCGATCCAGGCCTTCCCCCGGGTCTGCCACCCTCGCAGGCCTCGGTGATGCCCGACCTCGCAGCACGAGGCCGAAGCCGAACCCCGCCAGGAGGAGCAGTGGGGGGCCAGGCCCCGGGTCAGGCATCGCAGACGGGTTAGGGAGCTGGGTTCGGGGCTTGTAGGGCGCTGGGGGTTTTGGATTCCAGGGATAACCTGTTTTCCCCGCACTTGTCCGCGTCGTCCCTCTCCCCGACAACCCGTGTTTTTCCCCTTGGTCAAAATTTTGTCACCTTGCCCGAGACGTTTTGCCAATCCCCTTCCCAAGCAGATGTCTTCAGTCTCAGCTGTTGTGAGGTCTGCAGGTGTCAGGCCGGGGAGGACCCGTGTCACACCCTTTTCCAGGTTGGGGATGGTCTCGCGCTTGCAGTTTTGTGTCGGCTGTGCCGAGGATGGGCCTCCCATGAATGTGCCGTGGTGCCTGCGTGTCAGAGTTGCCTGGTGGAGCTTCCAACATACACCCGGTCATCAAGACATGCGGTTCTGTGTGGCATGTGTCAGGGTCAGCCCCTCCAGAGGGAGTGGGACTCAGGATTGGGGCAGGTTTCGCTTGGAGCGGAATGTGTACCAGCAAAAGATCCCTCACCAGTTCCAATTTCTTTAGCAGCGCTATGCCAATATGAGGTGGTCCACCATCCTTTGGTGACGGGGCCGAGGTATTTTCCTCTGGAGGCTTTGTGCGACATGCAGTTGTATGAAACCCCCAGTACTTCTACTCCCCTCGTCTTAGGAGGTGGATCTCGACCCACAGGTACCCAGTCGTCTTGTCGCAGCAGAAGAACCCGACGACGTCGCAACAGGACGGCCCGGCCTCTCAAGGCTAGGGAGCCTTTGGATTCAGCTATCGTAGCCTGGAACACCACGACCCCGCATGAAAAGATGGACAAGTGGGGCCAGTTAGCGGGTTTGGTGTCCAGGGGTTTTCAGCAGGGCTTTCCTTCTGTGGAGTCTAACATGGTAGGCCTTTTCGAAGATGACGAACCCACCGACCCCTTGACTTTGGAGTATTTGGTGGTCCACAAAATGTATCAGGCCCTTGCTTCCCCCAGCCCAAGCCCAAGTGACTGGGTTTTTGTCCTTCGAGGCTCGGAGGATCTTTCGGCAAACTCTTACGAAGCTAAACCTAGGAATCTCAAGGTCTGTTCGGCCAATGTCACCCGATGGCGGTCGAGTCACCGGAAATGGGCCCACACCTTGTCCCCGGACATTCTTATGCTGCAAGAACTTCACCTTACCAAAGAGGACCTCAAGAGTGAGACTCGTCATTTGATGAATCTAGGGTTTGTGCTCTTTGGTGTTGCTAGCCCGAAAAGTGCCAAGGGTAACCCCCTAGGAGGTGTAGGGATTGCAGTCAAAAATCACTTGGGGCCCAGGATCATAGTGACTTTCCACGCCTCGCAGGGCTGTGGCTATGTTATTGTGGCTTTGCGTTCCAAAGGGGTAGATTTCAATTGGATCTCCTTGTACCTGGAAAGTGGGACGGGCTTGGATAGCCCAGTCAATGATCTTATCCTGTCCAGCCTTACCCAACATTTGTCCCTCCTTCAAGGCATGTGGGTGGTTGGTGGGGACTTTAACGTTCCGATCCAGGACTTCCTTAACTCCAGGTATGAAGAAAGGTGGCAGGGCCGTGTGGTGGGCAGTGGGTCCCTCACGGCGGGAGGGGACTCCGAGATTGACTTCTTCGTCGTCCATCCCAGTCTTCACTCCCTGTCGACGGTCCGGCTGTCATTTGACACTCCTTTCAAGCCTCACGGACTTCTAACCTTGGACGTGCCAGTGCACTCCCTTCAGTTGAGAGTCCCCACCATCAGGTCGGTGGTGTCCCCGGCTCCCTCCTCCTTCCACGCAAGCTCCCCAGTCCAGGTGGTCCAGATTTGGAAGTGGCGTCCCAGGAGGAGTCCTCTACTGCCTTGGGCCAATGGTCCCGCGACCTCCAGTCGGAGGCTCAGGCCACCACAGGAAAGGGCTTGTGGGTCGACCTTCCCCGCAGGCCGTTGGCCTCGCACCCAGTTGGAGGAGGTGCCTGGACAGGAGGGCCTATGGCTATCTGGGATAGATGGCGCACCTGGCTTCAGACAGGGATGGTCCCTAAATCCTCCGAACCCTTTGCCTCCATCCCTCCGGACGACCACCTTCTTCCCGTCCTAAAGGACTGGGTTCATGCTGATGACCGCAGCAGCCTCACTCGGGAGTTGGTGCCCCAGGTCGAGACAAAATATAAAGAAGCTTTGGCCTCCCAGACCTCCCAGAACTCCGAGTCTTACTCCAAGTGGCTGGAAGAGGCACAAAATGATCACCTCCGCCCCCTTTACCGCTCCCTTCGGGCTGACGAGCAAACCTTGGAACGGCCGTATCGGGAGTTCACTCCCCTGGCGCGGCCCTATAAACGGCTAGAATTTTGGTGTGAGGTCTGGCAGGGAAACCTGCTGTCGCCAGCCCCTCTCCAGGGGGAAGTATGGGATGCCTTGTGTGACTTAGCCCGTGAGCAGGTCCGTTCACTGCCCAAGCATTCTGCTAGCTCCGTCGCCAAGATTTGCGCCGCCAAAAATCCCAAAAAAGGAGGCCCGGACGGCTGGGATTTCAACGATCTTCGAGACTTGCCTCGGGACGCGTATGCAGTCCTAGCCGACGCCTTCAACAAAATGGAGGAGGACCTTGTCATTCCCCTCCAAGTTTCCCAGGTCCAGATTGTTCTTCTGGCTAAGAGTGCCTTGAAGGAAAGACCTATCGGTCTTACATCAGTCCTATGGCGGCTTTGGTGTAAGTCTCGACGGTTCTTGGTCGGCCAGTGGCTGGACTCTTACATTCCTGATCACCCTTTCGACTCGGCGATTCCAGGCCGTACCTCGTTAGACGTTGCCCTGGCCAGGAAATGCTCCAAAGAGTCTGCCAGAGTCAAGGGCTTGCACACTGTCTCGTTGTTCGTAGACATTAATGGGTTTTACGACAGTGTTTCTTGGCGGAGGCTTTGCGAACAAGGCTTGCGGTTGTCTTTCCCAGCCTTGGCCCTGTGCCTCTCCCTTCGCCTCTACCAAGGTGGTCGCACGGTGGTGGGGGAATCCCAGCCTAGTCCAACCATCTTCCCAGGCAGGGGCATGATCCAGGGATGCCCGTACGCTCCCACCTTGGCCAAGCTTACCATGTCTGAACCCTTACATAGACTGAAACGAGTCACAGGCTTGGATCATTGCGATGTATGGTTGGACGATGTTTCTGCAGATTCCCTCCACGCCTCGCCGGATATAGCCGCGGGAGCGGCTTATGAAGCCTTTCGAGTGCTCAAGTCCAGTCTTCAGGCTGAAGGTCTCGTCCTCAGCCAAGAAAAAACAAAATTTGTGGCCGGAACACCCCGCTCGGCCGCGGCGCTGCGAAAGCTGTTGCGGCCAGGGGACCCTGACATAGTCGACGTGGTCAAGGATTTAGGCCTTGACAGTGGCAGTGGACGCCGGCGCAGGACTACTACTGCCCAGAAACGCTTCCGGGTAGGTGGCCTCCGTAACCTGAAGTTGGGTAAGCTTCGCATTCCGTCACGCCGTGTCCGGCTGCGGTTGCATCGTTCTAGTGTAGTCACTTCGGGTCTTTATGGCCATGAAGCACAGGGGGTCGCCCCTAAACATATGAAAACTATGCGCGCAGCGGTGGCCCGACACGCAGGCAGGAGCCGATACGGTTCAACGGACACCATCCTAGACATGACAGCCCATGAGGTTCAGGATCCTTACCTTATTGTGGTGACCCAGCATGTGGAAAGTCTTTTCAGGATGATGGCCAGATGTAACCGCATGGGCTGGGAGGCAGTAAAGGACACTTGGCGAGTGGTCTGGAAGCGGCTGGAGGCTGCGAAGCACGGCTGGTCCGTGGTCACTGGACCCATATCAGCCATGTGTCAATACCTCCGCGACCTCCAGGTCGACGGCCACGATCCTTCCCGCTGGGTTTTTGAGGAACGTGCTCTTGAGATCAAGCCTTCTGAGGTTTCGGTTGTCTGTCAAACCTCGTCCTTCCTCACGGACATCATCAAGACCCAGAGGTTGGGATCGGCCTCGTCGGCAGCGGGTGCTGGTGGCGGGGTTGATTGGACGGTCCCGCGTCGCCTGCTCAAGTCAGTCGTCCATTCTCCATAACGGCAACGGTGGCAAGGATGTATGTAAGTTTTGTGGTGATTCCGGAACCACCTTGCGCCACCTCATGTATGAGTGCCCTTCCTTCCCTGATGGCATGCGGTTACCGGGGTACGTTCTGGCGGAGAAGCGCCGTTTCCCTGATGACTGCCTGTGGCTTCGGGGTATGCTTCCCCTTAAATACCTCCCAGTCGCTCCCTCGGGGGACCTAGAAGTGGTCAAGACAGGCGTGTTTCTTACGTCCTCCCAGGTAGTAGCAGACGGGCTGGTGTTTGCCACGGACGCGTCAGGGGGCATGTTCACCAAGGATCCGAGATTGCGAAGGGTGAGCTGGTCTGTAGTCGTGGGGCGGGTTCAAAATGGTCAGTTTCAGGAGTTAGGAACCATGTCCGGCCTCACCCCCCCCGGAACAAGCGTCGCGCATGGTGAATCTTTTGCCATTGTGCAGACGATCAAACACACCCTTGGTCAGGTTGACCTCACGGGGGACTGCAAACCAGCCCTAAGGACCCTTTCCAAAAAATCTTTTCAAAAAACGACCCCGGCCTTTTGGGGCCCGGTCTGGGAGGACCGCGGTAGGATAAGTCCCACTTGGGTAAAATCCCACCTAACTAGCCGTGAGTTCGAAATGCGGTTTGGCTTTTCCCAGCTTTGGAGACACCAGGCCAACCAATGCGCTGATGAGTTGGCAGGCAAACGAGCTGCCACCATATCGCCTGTAGCAGGGCGTAAAGTCCAGGACCTGGATAGGCTCGTAACCAGGATCTGCGATTACCTGGCGTCGCGAGCTGTGGTTGTTTTAAAACACGCCTCAAAAGATGATTTTGTCCCCCGAAGCCAAAGAGAGGAACCCCAACCACCCAAAGGGCCCAATAAGCGCCAGCTTTTGCTGGCAAAAGTGGATGTCCCGGAAGCAGTAGGTGGTCATGTCTGGCAAGTAGGGGGGTTGAAAACTAATAACCTTGCTATCACTTGTGCGAAGTGTAAGCTTTACCTCCAGCAGGTTCATGAGATGGATAGGCTAGAACGTTTGCTTGCGCAGCCGTGCATTGACATGCCCCATAACGGTCCCCAGTTCTGGCCTACCCTCCACCCGGCGCACCGGCTCAAAAACGAAGGTCGTAGATGGCTGTGCTCCGGGTGCCATCTTACCCTCCTTCCAGGCCATTCTCAGCCTTGTTTAGGTCTCCAGAAACCCTGCAAAAAACTCCACAATAACCAAACCCTGTCCTTTCATGCCCAGGCCTCGGTTTCCACGCCACCTGGGCGGCCGGACTCTTCAGGTTCTTCTTCAGCTCTAAAGGAAGTGGCTTCCCTTCCTAAGGCTGCAGCTTTGCACGTGTCTGAGGTGGGGCCTGGCAAGACAAAGGAAGCGGATTCCCTTCCTGGCGCAAGTGCACGCGACGCCGGGCCTGCCAAGGAGCCTGCTTCCAAGCCGGCCAGCCGTGCCAAAAAGAAGAAAGAGCTTCCCTCGGGTCAGCAGACCCTTCGGTTTAAGAAGCAGTGATGGGGGGCTCAAAGGGCAGGGGTCGTGGCCCTTTTTGGCGTGAGCAGCGCCAACGAATGGCAGAGGGGAAGTCGTGGGCCTTCCAGTGGGAGACGACCAGCCGGAAGAAGCACCCCTCCCTGAGGAGGCGGCTCCTGATGGCTCCAGCTCTTCGGCCCAACCGGCGGCGAAGGCATGGCCGCCTCCCCCCCCGCCGGCTCCTTGGCGAGACCGTCGGCGTTCTCCTTTCCCTCGTCTGGTCTTGCGCTCAGTGGACAGAAGCCCTACACCGCCCACCCCTCCGCGAAGGAGGAGGCCTCAGGCAGCAGGGTGTGGATTTGCGTTCGGTTCCGCGCGATTCAACACGTTCCCCTCCACCTGGGAGGCGGTCAGAGGAGGCTAGGTCCAGCCGTGACCTTCCAAACCAGCATGCACGGCCCAGATCCCCCTCGGAGGCACGGGCCCGGCCCCCTGTAGACCCAGCCCATGAGGCTGAGGAGTCCCCCTGGGGCCGGCGGCAACGCATGCGCAGGGAGGCTCCGGACTTTACCCCGGGTGTGCACGCGGCTGGTGAAGCAGCAAGCTACAAGCGGCCCACCTCGCCTCGGCATTTCCTCCCTCAGGAGCTCACACTTACGTGGGACCCTATTCGGCAGGTTGTGGTGGAAGCCCGGGTTCTCCCGCGCCTGGGCTGGGGACAAAGCCGTGTAGGCTACCAGCTGTCTCAGGCGTTGGTCTTGAAGCTCACGGATGATGCATCCCTGAACGGTCCGGAGATCGATATGGCGCGGCGCTTTCCTCGGCTCCTGGCTCCCATCCTCACCAGTGGCTCCATGTGGATTGGACTAGGACCCGAAGGTGTGCCAGGTGCGGGCCTGCATCGGTTCCTGTACCACGTGCAAGAGCATCGCTGCCAAGCCCGTGAGTGGCTCCAGGAAAATGCTGCCAATGGTCTCCGTGTGCATTCCTACCTTCTGGCCACGTTGGCCACCTTGTTGCACTTGTATGCCTGTGGGGTAGATGCCAAGGATGTTGGCATTTCAAACCTGAGCCACAGGCCGCTGGGCACGAGGTTGGTCCCCCTTCCGGCCTTCATCGATGCCAACAACTGGGGCCAGGGAGGCCGGAATGGACGGGCTTTTGGAGGGTAGTTGCCAAATACTGCCCCCATGATGCGGGCTACTTTCGGCAAGTTTCCAGGGGTCCACCCCAGGCGTGTTTTGACCAGATATGTAACACCCTGGGACCCTTGGGGGAAGAAGTTCGCTGGCTGTGCACCACCCCGGCCGAGGAGGCTGTGGAAACAGAGCTGCTTCACTGGGGGCATCCAGTTTCCCAGCCTTTGGGCTGAGGTCGCAACTCCTTCCTGCTGAGTAGCTGTGGCAGTAGCTGTAACATAGTTCCCTGTAGATGGCCTGTGGGTGCACCGCTTCCCAGCTTTTGAGCTGTGGTTTTGCCGTAGCAGGGTGACCGACTGCCCGAGAGACAATGTCTCGCCCCAAAGGGGCTCCGGGCGAATTCGTTTGCATGAAGGACGCCCACTGGGTAACGCTTTTGCGCTTGCTGAAGAAAGTTCCTGTCTAAGGACAGGTTAACTTTGTTGTCCTGCATGCTGGCTCAGAGTTGTGTGTGTGTAGTTGTAGGAGCTCCGTAGTTGTGCCTTGGAGGCTCGACGGAAGTGCTGCTTTAAGTGGGAAAGCCTTTTGAAGTGCTTGAGCTGTAGGGATGTGTGTCTGGAAGCTGTAGAAGTGACTGTGCACGTTTTTGCTTGCTTTAGGTGTAGTTGGGTAGGTCCCGAGAACTCCCACTGACGTTTGAGTTTGTTTTGTGGCTGTGGAGAACACGTGGCAGAGCAGAGTTTTCACCTGTGTGTAAAGAGTTTCACTGACGAAGCCTCCGGCTTATGACTTTGCTGCTGTGTTTTCACACCTTCCCCCCCCCCCCCCTTCAAGCCCCCTTCAAGGGTCCGACCCTTCAGCCCCCCTTCAAGGGGGGCTTCAAGCCCCCCTTCAAGCCCCCCTTCGTACGAAGGGGGTGGGCCCAGCCCCGGCTGACCACCATGGGGCGCGTGCTGGCTTTTCCTTTGCTGCTGGATCCAGGGGTTTGACTGCTGTCTGGCCTGCTAACTGCGGCCCCAGTCTCTACTTGGGAATGTGGTCAGACTGGGCACAATTAAAAGGTGGGTGAGGTACTTAGCAACTCCATCACAATCACCCACGGATTAAAAGGGAACGCAGAGGTTAAACCTAGTAAAGGGCGTTTTACGCTTACCTGATTTTTTGGCCTTCATGCTGACTCCCTCAAATTGGCGGGTCAGCGGCGGCGGTATTGCACAGGCTTGCGTCAACTCCTCCTTATCAATCCCCCACGCTGGGATGCCAGTCGGGATGGGTGCTCCAACATGTCGTGCCATGGTGGCTTTGGCTAAATGCCACATTGTCCGAATGGCCTCCTGAACTTAAAATCCTGCACAGTCTTCTTCCCGGGACTGGAAGAGAAAGGTGGAAAGGGCAGTTGCCGTGGCAGTGCATGTTACACTAGAAGCTGTTGAGGCGTTGCTTGGTTGGGTGCTTGGAGTAAGTGGGTTCAAGATTTGCGCTCTTTAAGTTTCTTACTCGCCCTCAAAGTTGAACTTATTCTTGAGGGCTGGTAATCGAAAAGGGGTAGAAACATCACTTCTCGCAAGGCCGCAAGATCAGTGGTACGCAGCTCCGAAAAACGTTAATCTGAGCTTCAAACTTGTCGGCCTCCTTAGGTCTCTGCAATAAGTGCAGGCGAATGTCAGCAGAGATGCAACACACCTCCGAGGGGGCCTAGAGGGCTCCAAGGAGGCGGCGTAAGAAGGCTCTAAAGGCAGCACGCGCCGGAGGAAAACCGGTTACCTAGTAGTTCAGCGCCTTTGCTTGCTTTGTTTCTTCTGTTTCTTTGGTTCTTGGGTGGTTGCGTGGTGTGTTTGGTGGTTTGAGCGCGCTGACTTCGTTTCACCTGTCATGTCGAGCCCAACAAGACCGGCCTACTGTGCTACTGATGTAGTAAACAGGCGTCAGTCCAAAAAAAAGGGTCCTAAGGGGAGTCGATGCTGAAGACGGTGCATTGCACGCGGATGCTATGGACCTAGATGGCCGTAAAGACAAGTGGTTGCGGTCTTGGCAATTCCTGCAGTACTTTCTGAGACGCAGCGCAGCATGGGCTGGTACGTGGTAAAATGGGGTTCTTCAAAACGCCATGGTGTCGGGTTGGTTGCTGTGTGGCTGCTTTGGTGGATTAGGTGGTTTTGTCTTTCTTGGTTGTGTTGCTTTTTTTTTCTGGCAATCTGTTTTACACCTAGTTGAGAGACCCATAAGAACGGCCTACTGTGCTTACTGCAGTAAAGAGGCGCCCGCAAAAAAAACAATCAAAACGCCATGTCGTCTGGGTTTGACAGTTTGTCCAGCAGGTCGCCCCATCAAGCGCACGCCATGGCAGGGCGCATGCGGAGTCGAGAGAATTCGTCTCAGAAGGGAGCCTCAGCAAATAGCTGTCGCAACCTTACGTGGGCAGCGATTTCACTTGCCCGAGTGCGGACACAGTATGGGTCCCAGATTCGTATCAAGACGCCATGCAGAGATTCCATCGGCTAATGATTTCAAGAAATTTCTTCAGCGGCACCAGAGCTTTCAGAGGAGAGCTCTTATCCAAATCCAGCCCTGAAGGCCTGTGAAAAGTCCGTTTTTCGCCAAACAGGATCAATGCTGTGCAATTCTGTGAAGAACTCACCTGTTATGTTTGCCCAGTGGGTTGGTCTAGGGGTTAAAGGGTTTAGGGTGAAGGCATCCGGAAAACCCTCGTGGAACTGGCGACCCCCCGGAAAGATCGGATAGCTTGGGATATAGCCACATGAATGATCAGATAGGCTTGATGATTCTGCGAGGCTTCTTCAAGTTCTAGGGGAAGGGAATTTGCTGTATCGGGAAACCCTGATACTAGGTCTAGAATCTAGAAGTGAGAAAGTACCCCCAGCTGGAGCGAGATGTTCGCAGTGGGCAAGGAAGTATCCGAAAGCTGCAGCTTCGGAAGATGGAATGACTAGATCGAAAGATCGTCAAAAGGGGGCATCGAAATGAGGGCCGAGATATCATCGATTCGAGGGGGAGAGTACAGGTATCAGTGAAGCCTCAGCCCCAGACCTGAAGACAAAGGTGGAGTCATATGAGAGAATCAACTGATACGAATCCGCTGAGAAGGATAATGGAGCAGATCAGCGAGCGACGCTTCGGATGTCGGTTTGCATCAGCGGCCGGCGTCCGGAGAATGTGCAGGTGGTTCGCAACGCTGATGTAACTATCGCAGACCACATGCCTTGTCGTCGCAGGGTCATGTATCAAGTAGTCCCGCCAGCATCAGGCTGGCGAAGAGACATGCCCCAAACGAGACAGGGCGCACTCCCCCTCAGAATGCTGATTGATTTGGTAGCCATGCACCCATATCCCCACGACGAACTGTGTGCCTGTGTTCCCAGCTGTTCCCAGCATCTCTATATTACCTTATGTCCTGCCAGAGTTGCGGAGTCCATTGCTACGCACCATCGGGATTCCAACTCCACACTGGGATAAGGCAAGTAGATACACCTTAGTACGCTTGGTTGGCGCATCTGAGACTTGCGCTTGGCAGATTTCCCAAATTAGCAAATGCATAAGCGTTCTCTTTGATGCGACTCGCAGGTTTTGTGGTGCTCCTTTTTAGAGGAAATCGTACGTTTGCTTAAGTTTTGACTAGGAAACAATTAATTTTATGAGGAAAATCGTTCATTTTCCCTCAGGTTTTCGATAGAACCTCTGAATTTGAGAGGAACTCGCATATTCCCTGAGGTTTTCGCTCGCTTCTTGAAGTTTTCACTAGGAAAACCTCTAATATTGAGAGGAAATCGTACGTCTCCTGAGGTTTTCGCTAGGAGGAATCGTACGTTTCCCCCAAATATTTCGAACAGATTCATCCGATTTTTCGTAGGATGTCTTGTTCCTTTTGCTTGAATTCTTCTTAAGTTTGGCTCTGTTTCCTTGATTTTGCCTCAGGAAACACAATGCTCGTATCATGGGTTTCGTAAAGACGCCCCATTTGCAAACACTAACGCCTGCATGAACCCTAAACCCCAAACCCCAAGCGTAGCCTCCCCCCCCTTTTGCAAGCGCAACACTTGCATCATGGGATAAAAAATATTTGTAAAAGTATGCAAACATAATGCTCGTATCATTGGTTTCGTAAAGACGCCCCCATTTTGCAAAGACTAAAGCCAAAACGGCAAAGTTTAAACCCATAAACCCTAAACCACTCTATCATATAAAAAATATGTTAATGACTTTCCGGGCAAGGCCACTACAAGGTCATAAATACAGGGCAAGGCCGCCAACAAGCTCATAAAAGTAGTGGGCCCCCTGTTCTTTTAATCCTTCATGGTCTTCTCTGTAAACCCTTTACGGGCTCATTTCGTTTTAAGGTACCGAAAGGACCTAGTATAGTTCTTTGCTTTGTTATTGGTGCCTGAGGACAAACCATCGCATTCACCTAGTATATTTTTGGGTGTCGCGCCTGTAAACCCCAAACCCTGAACCCTTTGAGCCGACATCGGAGGCTTGAGAAGGTGCGTGCACGGCACTGACGAACCAGCGGGGAGACACCTGCAACAAACAAGCACAGATTCGCGCACTGTCGTGGTGCTTGGTGATGGACATGTACCTCCTGAACCCCCCCCCTTGAAATTTCAATAAAACATGTCGGGAACCCAGGCAAAATATTTCAGGTTTTTTTTTTTTTTTTTTGGGGGGGGGGGGGGGGTGGATGTCACCCCCCCCTTCCCCCTTAAGGCCGTAATGATCCTCCAGGCTGGTTTGCATCCAGGTTGTCCCAAACGTGTCGTTTTTGAGGTTTGTGAAATTGGAAGACCTTGTTGAACCAACTAAACATGCACAGTGCCCTCGAACAAACGTCGTCGGATTCAATCGAGACCGTCACTTGCTCGCCTAAGTTGCTAAAGTGGTTCCGAAACCCTAAACCCCAAACCTGATAAACCCTAAACCCCAAGCCAGAAAACCCCATAAGCCCAAAACCCAAAACCCCAATGTCCTTGTGCCGTAGCTGTTGCAGCCGCGCCTTCCTGACGCCTTTCAAGCCTCAAGCCTCATCGGCTCAAGACGCCGTTTGCGAAACATTTTTTGGCCCTCTCCGCATTTTGCAGGTTGGGCACCTTCGTGTCACGCCCTCCATGCCGCGATCGTAAGGTTCCTCCCTCTCAGAAGGGGGGACCTGGGGATGTGGGCCCTCCGTGCTCTGCCGCTTTGCTGGCTCCTGGCATCACCTGAGCGCCCGGAGCTCAGAAAGGGAGGAGGGGTGAGAGACTGAGAGGTCATATGCTTCATGAGATGTTTCATGTCTCCCAAGGCACGGATCCCTCCCGGCACCTGGACGACAGGGACAGGTCCAGCTTCTTGCTCCACGGCCGCGGGGTGTTGGGTGCAGGGAAGCCGCCGGATGTCGAGGCAGAGGCGCTCGTTCAGGACAGGGCTTTTCATGGTTGTTTGTGCACGAGTCCGCAAGCAAGACTGCGTCTCAAGATGTGCCTGCTGTAGGGGGCTTGTAATGGGGTGGATATGGGTGGATGGTTGATGGTACTACGTTCCAGGATCGGGCCCGAGCCCTGCCGCCCTGCAACGGGAGCCTCGAGCTGTCCGGGGTCTACGAGGCCCGGTCCGGTGACAGAGAGAGGGCTTCGGCTGCGTTGCCGCATGTGACTCGCGAACTCACAGCTCAAACTTACCAGATCTCGCAGCTGCCGCTGCGGGCATCTGCCTGGAAGGTCCAGGAGACTCTCGTGTTGCAGGGCCCCTGCAAGGTCAGCGCGACCGGCTCAGTCCTTAGGTGAAGGGTCCCTCATGTGGGGGTTTACGAAAAGGGGGGGGACCCCTAACATACACCGGACTCCCTTACAACAAGGACCCCAATACGGTACCCCTAATTTCGGAGACCCCCCATTTCCTCTCTGGTTTGAAGCTTCCTGCGGCCTGTCTTTGCCCGAGGCGCGCAGCTGCGCCTCCGGGCCCCCATCGTCTTCAACGGCAGCGTCACCCTCACGGGCGACCTGAAGGTGGTGGGGAAGGACGGGCCCTTCGAGCAAGCCTGCGTTTCGGTGCATGGCGGCCTCCTGCTGAGAGCCGGCGCGCATCTGGGCATCGAAGGGTGCCGTAGCAGCAAAGACGAGGGGGAAGGAGGGTGCCTCCGAGTGGAGGAGGACCTCGAGATGCGCGGAGGAGTCCTGGCGTTTACTTCCTGCCATGCAGAAGGAACTCAAAGCAGGGGAGGGGCGGCCTACGTCCGAGGCGGGGGGGGTGCAGCTCTTGTCGGTTCGGTGTCGAGTCGTGTTTTGCAGGAGCCCAGAAATTTTTGCTGAGTCTGAAGGCAACGTCCGCCTAGCAGGGGAGCTGCATGCGGAAAGCTGCAGCGCCAAGGATTCCGGAGGTGGGCTTGTCCGCACGTCCCCTAGCTTCCTTCATCCTCCTTCGTTTCCTCCATTGAAGCTCTCGGGCTCTCCGAGCACACTAAGGAACCATAACCCTAAACCCTAAACGGTGTATAAACCCTAAACCCTGAACCCTAAACCCTAAATCCTAAACCCTAAACCCTAAACCCTAAACCCTAAACCCTAAGCCCTAAACCCTAAACCCTAAACCCATTTTTCAGAGGCGCCCTCTATTCCTTCGAGAAGATGGCGATCGTGGACGCCTCCCTCCAGGTCCACAACGCGTGGGCCAATAAGGATGGAGGCGCGGCATGGGGGCATCAGAATGATCCTTAAACCCTAAACCCGAAACCCTAAACCCTAAACCCTAAACCCGAAACCCGAAACCCTAAACCCTAAACCCTAAACCCTAAACCCTAAACCCCCTCTGACAGCTCAGAGCTCTCTTCATCGCATGGTGCGCGACATGAACAGCTCAGCGACAGTATCGGATTCCGGATTGAAGCATGGTTTGGGCGAACTTTCCGAATCTCTCGCTTGTGTTTGTGCCAGGCTTTCACATCCCCGGCGCAGTTACGTTCACATTCAAGCCCCTGCAAACTAACTATCGACCTCCCAACTTCTTCATTCGGTCTCTGACCGACCTTCGTTCTCACTGTCATTCAACGCTCCTGATTGTTTGCAGGCTCTGCCAAAAGGGCTGATGCACCACATGAGGCCTTAAATCCACTTGTCGCACTTTCTCCAAGTCCAAGAAACACGAGAGTGGCACGTGTAACGTCGCAGCGGCAGAGCATTGTTCTGGGATGGGGGCACGGCCAGTGTCATCATTTTGATCACCATGGTGATCTTCATGTTCCTATAGGCCGACAACATTTGTACATTGAAAATCAGAATAGAATCTCGGTGTTTCTTACCTTGGCGGACCATCAGGTGCGAGGGGGCACGATGGGAGCGCCTCCCGAACCAGTCTGGCGTCATGCTTGACGGTCAAAGTGTGCCTCAGAGTCGCAAGCTTGCACAGGCGCCCTCTATTCTGCCGAGAACGTGACGATCGCCAACGCCTCCTTCCAGGTCCACAACGTGAGGGCTGGCAGGAGTGGAGGCGCAGCCACAGGATGCCGCAGGGGAATTCTAGAGCCTTTTGTGACTCCCAAACAGCCAGCAGGGCCATTTTAAGCCTGCTCAAAGTTGGGGAATGTGTGTTTGGCTCCAGGGCAAGAGGGGTGCAGCTGGAGAGTCTTGAGGTTTGTGGGGCCTACTGGTCTGCTACCGGTAGACCTCCGAGCACGCACTGCCGCAAAGGCGCCCTCTCTTCCGACGACAGCATGGCCATCGTCAATGCCTCCCTCCAGGTCCGGAACGCGACGGTTGGTGGCTTTGGAGGCGCGTGCCCACACAGGACCCAGAGACCCCCCCCCCTTCCCCCCCCTTCCCCCCCCTTCCCCCCCCTTCCCCCCCCTTCCCCCCCTTCCCCCCCCTTCCCCCCCCTTCCCCCCCCTTCCCCCCCCTTCCCCCCCCTTCCCCCCCTTCCCCCCCCCCTTCCCCCCCCTTCCCCCCCCTTCCCCCCCCCCCCCCCTTCCCCCCCCTTCCCCCCCCTTCCCCCCTTCACAGCAACAGCGGGCATCCTGGGCATCCCAAGCCTTGCTCTGGAGGCGCCCTCCACGCAAAAAATCATCTCCGCGCCTCTGGCCGATGGGTGCTGGAGGACTGCCGGGCCCATTTCAACGGAGGCCGGGCGGCTGAGCAGTGGGGCCACAAAGCTGACAAGTTCAAGGATGTTCAAAGGCCTATAGAACCTTAAGAACAAGACCCCCTTACCCTCCTGCCCTCGCTGTACCATCGGGCAGAGCCTCCTTTCCAACTCTGCTCAAGTTGTCAACAGCTTTAGCCACCAGAGCTGGCAAAATGTGTGAACTTGCCAGCTCTGGTGGGTCTGGGAAAGTCGCATGGTCTTGCATTCTCGACCACGTCCGCATGTTTTTGGGTGTGTTCAAGGCAGTCTTGAGACGGGTTTGTTTGAGGAAGATCTGAAGGCGGCCAGGGCAATCAAAGGCATTTGAAGAAGCAAGCGTTTGAGGTAAGGTTGCCTCCAAGGTAAGAAGGGGTGCGGGGTTTTGAGGTCCGTAGGGGCCTAGTGGTGGTGACCTCCGAAACACGCACGGCGTGCACGTGCCACTGAGGCGCCCTCTATTCCTTTGGCAGCATGACGGTCGCCAATGCCTTCCTCCAAGTCCAAAACGCAACTGCCGGCAGCCATGGAGGCGCGGGCAGTGTACGGGAGTTTGTAAGGCCCATAGCTCCTTTTCAACAGCCGACTTGGAGGTTCATGATGGTAACTATCACCATATTTTGGCTGTATTTAAAGCCAGCTTTGTAAGGCTTATACTGTAGCCCCTCTTCGACAGCGTAGGCGAGGCTGCTTGCTTGGAACGGGAGGGGCTTTCGATCTTCAGGCGCGGGAAGTCGAATCGTGGAGAGCCCGCTATATAGGGGGTCTTGCGTGGTTTTCAATTTGCATCCCCGAGCACACCCACGTGTTTGTGTTGCGAGGTTGTCTACAGAGCATCAGGGCTTCTTAAACGGATTTGCTTGAGGAAGATCTGAGGGAAGCCATGGCAAGCAAAGGCGTTTGCATGGCAAGCGTTTGAGGTAAGGTTCGAGGTTTGCAGTGCCTACTGGAAGGTCCTCCCGAACATGCGCTGCCCTCTCGTGTCACGGAGGCGCCATCTGTTCCGGCAACAGCATGACGATCGCCAATGCCTCCCTCGAGGTCCACAACGCGAGGGCCGGTGAAAATGGAGGCGCGGGCAATTTAGGGGACCCTCTAGGGCCTAGTGTGCCTCTTCTACAGCTTAGGCGGGGCCGCTTTCAGGCGGGAGGGGAGCTCCAGCTTGAGGAATGTGGAATGATTGGCAGAAGTATTCCCCCGACCAGCTTAACTAGTTAATTGCTTGAGGACGATCTGAGGGAAGCCTTGGCAAGCAAAGGCATTCGCAGAATCGAACGTTTGAGGTAAGGTTGCCTGCAGGGTCAGGGGGGGTTGCGGCTGGAGAGTCTTGAGGTTCGTAGAGGGTAGATCCTCCGAGCACCTGCGGAGGCAGCCTCTATGCCTATAAGAGCCTGGAGATCGCCAATGCCAGCCTCGAGGTCTACAACACGAGGGCCAAGGGACGTGGAGGCGCGGGAATTTTAGGGGCCAGTGGAGGTTTGGAAGGGGAGGTTCACCCTAAACCCTAAACCCTAAACCCTAAACCCCAAACCCCAAACCCCAAACCCCAAACCCCAAACCCTAAACCCTAAACCCTAAACCCTAAACCCACCCGAAACCCTAAACCCTAAAAACCTGCTTGGCGATCAGTTTTCCAGCTCCAACGTCGTGAAGTTTTGAACTTCGCAAAGGGAAGTCAAAGGGACCAGCATATTTAGAAGAGTCCTAAGTTCCCAAAGCAAAGATCAGAAGGGGTGGGTTTTGGGCTGGGAGCTTTTGCGCTTTAAGTGGTGGAGGGGGCTCTCCAGGTTCCAGCTGGGGCCACACCTGCATGTGGCAAGCGTCTTTCGGAGGAGTTTTCCGCCTCAGCTCACCCTCGGTTTCAAAACGGCTGTCCACATTGATTCTTCCTCGGCACGACGGTGGGATGAGTGGTCTCTCGTCCGTGCTTTTACAACAAGTAGTAGGTGCAGAAGTTCCGCGTTTGGCGATGGCGAGTGATCATGTTCCAGGTCGCATGGTAGGAGCGCTCGCAAGGGTGTGTCGCCATGCCGAATTCGGCGGCTTTTTGGGAGGAAGATCTGAGGGAAGCCTGGGCAAGCAAAGGCGTTTGAAGAGCAAGCGTTTGACAATTTGAGATAAGGTCTCCATGGGCAAGAAAGGGCGCGGGCCGGAGAGTCTTGCGGTTCGTAGGACCTACTGCTAAAAACCTGACCGCATGCTCGTGCCCCAGAGGCGCCCTGCATTCCGCCCGCGGCAGCATGACGATCGCCAATGGCTCCCTCGAGGTCCACAACGCGAGGGCCGGTGAAAATGGAGGCGCGGGCAATTTAGGGGACCCTCTAGGGCCTAGTGTGCCTCTGCTGCAGCCCAGGCGGGGCGCTTTTGGGGGAGGGGAGCTCCAGCTTGAGGAATGTGAATGATTGGCAGAAGTATTCCCCCGACCTGCTTAACTAGTTATATAGCTGCTTGTTGATCATCTTTTCTGAACCTCGAAGAGAACCAGCATTTTTAGAAGAGCCCTCGCGTGGCGATTTCTTTGACCCCGAGACCTGAGCTGCTGAATGAAGTTCTCAGGGCAAGTTCAGGGGGGTTGCGGATCCAGTTGGACCAGGTCGTGTTCCGGCAGGAGGGGCCAGATACGCATGCTGCGCATGGCACCAAGAATAGTTGCAGACAGTTTAACACTTCAGTGCAAGGTGAGGTGGGTGAGCTGAGTGTCAGCCTGGGTGGACCTCTCGCGTGGGTGTTGTGCGCTTTTCGCGCCTGTCCTCGCGCATCCACTTTTGCAAGTCCACGAAAGTGCAGACTTCTCGACTTCCCAACTTCCCGTGCGCCTTCCTTCTGACCGAAGCTCCCTAGCTCCTCTGAAGCATTCGGCCTGCGAACTGACCCTCGGTTTCAAAACGGCTGTCCACATTGATTCTTCCGCGGCACGACGGTGGGATGAGTGGTCTCGTCCGTGCTTGTACAAGTTGCAAGTAGTAGGTGTAGAAGTTCCGCGTTTGGCGATGGCGAGTGATCAAGTTCCAGGTCGCATGGTAGGAGCGCTCGCAAGGGTGTGTCGCCATGCCGAATTCGGCGGCTTTTTGGAAGGAAGATCTGAGGGAAGCCTGGGCAAGCAACATCAAGCAAAGGCGTTTGCAGAGCAAGCGTTTGACAATTTGAGATAAGGTCTCCATGGGCAAGAAAGGGCGCGGGCCGGAGAGTCTTGAGGTTCGTAGGACCTACTGGTAGGACCTCCGAACACGCACTGCATGCTCGTGCCACAGAGGTGCCCTGCATTCCGGCGGCAGCATGACGATCGCCAAAGCCTCCTTCGAGGTGCACAACGCGCGCGCCGGTAAACGTGGAGGCGCGGGCAATGCAGGAGAGCCTCTAGGGCTTGTTGTGCCTCTTCAACAGCCTAGGCCAAGGCGAGGACGCTGGGAAGGGGAGGGGCGTTCTCGAGGCATGTTCAGGGGGGTTGCGGAGTCAGTTGGACCAGGACGTGTTGCAGCAAGAGGGGTTAGATACGCAGGCTGCGCATGGCACCAATTCTAGTTGCAGAATGTTGCAGACAGTTTTACACTTCAATGCAAGGCGAGGTGGTTTTGAGCTGTGTGTTTGGGCGCGCGCAGGTTTTGGGTGGAGGGCGAGGGACTTTGAGCAGCCTTTTCGAGCTTTCAGATCCAGCTGGGTACCTTTTCACATCGCAAGTGACGTCTGGAAGCCTTCTGGAGCCGGTCGCATCGTAGGAGCGTCCACAAGGGGGTTGAGGAAACCAGGGCACGCAAAGGCGTTTGCAGAAGCAAGCGTTTGAGGTACGGTTGCCTTCCCTGGAGATCCTTTAGGTTTGCAGGGCCTACTGGTAGGACCTCCGCTGCATCCTAAACCCTAAACCCTAAACCCTGAACCCTAAACCCTAGACCCTAAAGCCTCTCGCGCCACAGAGGCGCAATGCATTCCGGCCGCAGCATGACGATCGCCAATGGCTTTCTCGAGGTCCACAACGCGAGGGCCGGCGAAAACGGAGGCGCGGGCATGATAGGAGGACCCTCTAGGGCCTAGTGTGCCTCTTCAACAGCCTATCTATAGGTGAGGCCGCTTGGAAGGGGGAGGTTGAAGCGTCTTCTTCGCAGTCGTATACAGACTCTGTTAAAGGGGCAAACATGGCTGTCAAGTCTGCAACAAGGCCGACATGTCGAGGTACCAATCTCGGGACGTGTAATGTCGTATTACGGCGTGGTTCTGGGGAAGGGGGGCTCTATTCGTACCAACATTTGATCTCACCGTGTTGCTGAAGTCGCATCGTGGAGAACCCATTCGGGGGTCTTGCGCGTGGCGTTAAATTTGCATTCCCGAGTAGACTGATGTCATGCTCCAGTCGAGCATCCAAGACAGAACAGTCTGGCATCGTGTTCACACGCAGGGGCTCCCTAAACCCTAAACCCTAAACCCTAAACCCTAAACCCTAAACCCTAAACCCTAAACCCTAAACCCTAAACCCTAAACCCTCTTAAACGGATCTGTTTGCGGAAGCCCTCTGCCCTACAGAATCAAAAGTTTGGGGTAAGGCTGCCTCCCGCATCAGCGGCTTCAGGCTCGTAGGGGCCTACTGGTCTACCATTTGCTAAAGAACCTCCCGACATTTTACCCTCAGAAGGAGGAATATTTGGTGTTTTGTAGGGGCTCCTAAGCAATTGGTCGTGGTAGGACTTCCCAACACCCTGAGGTGCCCTCTCTTCCTCGAAGAATCTGGAGATCGCAAATGCCTCCCTTGACATCCGCAATGCGACGGCCAAGAAAGACGGAGGCGCGCCCTGATCCCTAAACCCTACACCCTAAACCCTAAACCGAAAATCCTAAACTCTAAACCCCAAAACCCTAAGCCCTAAACGCGGGCATTTCAGGCGACCCCGCCGCGTTAACAGCCAGTGGAGGCTGCTTGGAAGGGCGGTTCGGACCGACCTGCTTAGCTAGCTATATAGCTGCTTGTCGATCAGCCCTCCAGCCCCAACATCGTGAAGTTTTGAACCTCGCAAAGGGACCAGCATTTCTTAGAAGAGCCCTCGCTTGCGATTTCTTTGACCTTGAGACCTGAGCTTCTGAAGTTCTCAAAGCAAAGTTCAGAAGGGGTGGGCTTTGGGCAGAGCTTGTGCGCTTGAAGAGGTGGAGGAGGCTCTCAAAAGCCAGCTCTGACCTTTTCTCACAGCCTCCCGGAGCTTTCAGTTCCTGCTGGGGGCACACCCTCACATCGCAAGCGAGCTGTCTGCCTCAGCTCTGAATCTGGCAAAAAAACCAATCCTCAGCCTTCGTGGACCTCTCGCGTGGGTTTTGTGTCTCTGTTTTTGCGCCTGTCCTCGCGCATCTATATACTTTCGCAAAGCCCACGAAAAGGCAGACTCTCGACAGAACAGCTGCACATTCCTTCTGGCCGAAGCTCCCTAGCTCCTCTGAAGCATTCGGCCTGTGAACTGGGCCTCGGTATCAAAACGGCTGGCAAGATTGATTCTTCCACGCACGACGGTGGAATGAGTGATCGTCAGTTCTCACCGTGTTCGTGATTTTACGAGTATCAGGTGCAGAAGTTCTGGATGGCGAGTAAAGGGGTTGGCGCCATGACGAATCCAACGGCTTTTCATGAGGAAGATCTGAGGGAAGCCAGCAAGCAAAGGCGTTTGCAGAATCAAGCGTTCGATGCCTTGGCGAAAGGGTAGGAAGGGGCGCGGGCCGGAGAGTCTTGAGGTTCGTAGGGCTCACTGGCAGGACCCCCGAACATGCACCGACCACTGTGTGCCAGAGAGGCGCCCTCTCTTTCGCCGGCAACGTGACGGTCGCCAATGCCTCCCTGGAGGTCCACCACGCGAGGGCCGGTGAGAACGGAGGCGCGGGCATGATAGGGGACCCTCACTTGAAGGTTCATGGTACTTACTAACCACTTATAACTGTACTTATATCCCTACTTATAGTACCCCTAGAGGGCCTTATTGGGGTTATCCCAATTATAAGTAGGGCTAGAAGCCCAGTTATAATTGGTTAGTAAGTACCATGAACCTCCAAGTAGGGCCTACAGAGAGCCTCTTCAGAGCCTAGGCGTTCGCTTTGCGATTTGAAGCTGAGCTGCTGAAGCTCTCAGGGCAAGTTCATGAGGGTTGCGGATTCAGTGGGACCGGGTCGTGTTTTCAGAAGGAAGGGTTGGATATGCAGGATGCACATGGCAAAAATGGTAGGTGCAGACAGTTTAGCACTTCAGTGCAAGTCGAGGTGGTTGAGCTGAGTGTTTGGGCGCGTGTAGGTTTCGGGTGGAGGGCGAGGGAAACTGTGACTGCATTTGCAAGCATGGCTGTGAAGCAGCCTTTACGAGTTTTCAGATCCACACTTCATGCTATTGCAAGAGACTAAGGAGGAGTTCTTTTTCGGCTCAGCTCTTAATCTGGCGAAGCTCTCCCAGTCTCAACCTTGGGCTTTTAGGGCCTCTCGCATGAGTTTTGTGTCGCTTGCCGCAAACCCTCGTGCTTTCTCAAACTCCATGAATATGCAGGGCCTCTCGACCTCCAGACTTCCTGCATCTTCCTTCTAATCGAAGCTCCCTAGATCTCAGAAACATTCGTCCGATCTCTGCGCGTCTCCGCATCGTTCAAGTCGGGCTGTGGGCTGTGGAGTCTTGAGGTTCGAAGGGCCGTACGTTTAGGGTTTAGGGTTTAGGGTTATAGGGTGTATACTGGTAGGACCCCCGAACATGCACTGACCACTGTGTGCCACAGAGGTGCCCTCTACTCCGGCGGAAACATCACGATCGTGCAAGCCTCCTTCGAGGTCCACGACACGACGGCCGGTGGGAGTGGAGGCGCGGGCAATACAGGGAACAGCTCTCCAGGGCCTCTCGCGCCTCCTCAACAGCCTAGCCGATGGCGGGGGGGGGGGGGGGGGGTAGTTGAAAGAGTTGAAAGATGGAGAGAGGTCTACCGCCAGCCTTTCGCTGCTTGTTGTTCTGTCCTCCAGCCTCCACTTTATGAAATTCTCGAACTTCACGAGGGATCAGCGTTTGTGATCTCTTTGACCCGGAGCCCTGAGTTGCAGAAGTTCTCAAGGCAGGTGTTCAAGGGAGGAGTTTTCGGCTGAGAGCTTATCCCTAAACCCTAAACCCTAAACCCTAAACCCCAAACCCTAAACCCTAAACCCTAAACCCTAATTGAGATGTAAGAGGTGGCGGGGGGGGGGGGGTTGGCAAGCCATTGCGACGAGCTCTCGAAGCTCCGACCTTTGAGCAGCCTGAGGTTTCAGATCCAGCTCAAAAAACGTGCACGCTTCATCGTATTGCAAGAGACTTAGGCGGAGATTTTTTTTACGCTTGTGAGCCCCTTCAACTCCTACTCATCAGCCTTGGGGGGCTCCCAGGGCCGCTCCCATGTGTTTTGTGTCGCATCGACTTTCTCAAAGTCCATGAATATGCAGTTCCTCTCGACCTCCAGACTTCCTGCATCTTCCTTCTAATCGAAGCTCCCTAGCTCTCAGAAACATTCGTCCGAATCTCTGCGCATCTCCGCATCGTTCAAGTCGGGCTGTCCAGATTGATTCTTCCTTGCATGACGGTGGAAGAGTGATCTTCAGTTCTCACACTGTTGCTGACCTTTGCATTCCCGTGCACATCCGCGTCTTTGTGTTGCGAGGTTGTCCGCGCTGTTACAAGTATGAGATGTGCAGAAGTTCCGGGCTTTGCGATAGAGAGCGTTCGATGCCTTGGCTAAAGGGCAAGAAGGGGCGCGGGCTGAAGAGTCTTGAGGTTCCTGGGGATCTTGTAGGGCCCTCCCAATATACCCCAAAACCCTAAACCTTCAACCCTCAACCCTCAACCCTAACCCTAAACCCTAAACCCTAAACATCCCTAAACCCTAAACCCTAAACCCTAAGCCCTAAACCCAATATTGCACTGCTGCGTGCCACGGAGGCGCCCTCTGCTCCCATCTTGGGAGCATGACGATCGCGGAGGCCTCCCTTGAGGTCCACGACACGACGGCCGGTGGGAGTGGAGGAGCGGGCATGAGAGGGGGTTTAGGGTTTAGGGTTTAGGCTTTAGGGTTTGGGGTTTAGGGTTTAGGGTTTAGGGTACCCACTAGGGCCTCTCGCCTCCTCTACAACTTCAACTTGAAGGGCGGGGGGGGGTGTTATCAGGAATGAGGAAGGTGGAAAGATTGAGAGAGGTCGAATTCCAGCCTGATTAGCATGTCGCTTTTCGTTGTTCTGTCCTCCAGCCCCCACTCTGTGAAGCCTTATCATCACCATGGCGAACTGAATCTCACAGTGCTGCTGATCAAGCGGAGAGTATCAATTCCGGCGCACATCCCCGCCGTGCATGCTCGATCACGAAGTGCCCCCCTCGCGAGGCGCCCTCTATTCTGCCGAGAACATGACGATCACCAATGCCTCCCTCCAGGTCCGCAACGCGAGAGCCGGTCAAGATGGAGGCACGGGTTGGGGACCTAATTCCTTGGGGACCAAAGGAACCTAAAATTGGGGTCATCTTCCCTTACTGCTCTAATTCCCATGAAGGTACATACCATTCTCCACTTCTTTTATGGCTTTTTCACCTTCAAGTACAGGAAACCTTATAGGAATCTCTGGTATATCTTCATGTTTTGCATCTCTTGACTGTTGGACAACAATTCTAGATCTGAGATCTTATTATGTGACATTCAAGACTATCCCCATTATTTCCTTGGGTTTTTTTGATTACAGCTTTCATGTTTTTATTAGCATTACCAATCTTGTCTGGTACACTTCTCGTACTATTGGGTGATCTTCATTCTAGTACACTTTTCTTTGACCCTATATTTGGAGGAGATCCTATATTCTATTAACAGATACTTTGTTTTTTTGGGTCATTTCCATAACAAAGTTTCTGGGATTGTACAAATATGAAGCATAAACCGTTTTCGGGTTTTCATGTCGTCCCCAAGGTGGAGGCTAGAGCCCCCAGCCCCCCCCCCCCCCCTCCCCCAACAGCCAGCAGATGGCTCATGCGCATCCTCAGCCTTGGTGGGATCATTGGGTTAATAAGTACAGTGAACCTCCAAGTAGACCCCCCCCCCCCCCCGGCCTCCGCAACCCCGGCCTTGATATAAAGGCGCCCTCTTTGCCTCTGGTCCTCTCCGGGGCTCCGGCCGATGGGTGCTGGAAAACTGCCAGGCGGAAGGTGGCGGAGGACGGGTTCGAGGGAACTTTCAGGTCACCGCTACGGCCGGGTTTACGTTTGAGGGCTGAACTTCGAGGCCTGGAGGGGCTTTGGAGCACGTTGGAACCGGAGCTTCCTCTCCTTTCCAAGACCCCGCTGGCCGCCAGCACTCGCTGTTCCACCGGGCAGTCCCTCCTTTCCAACTCTTCTCGCATTGTAGGGCGCCAGCAAGGCTACGTAGCTGAGCGCGCAAGATCCCCCGCCCTTGCAGAAGCAGTCCTCCCCTCGCCCAAGTCTTTCTTCTCAAAGTGTCCGAACATGGCCAGCTGTCGAATCTCCTGAAACTTCCTGGTCTCAAGGCATACCAGGACTTCCAGGACTCTGTAAGTCTTGAGGTCACAGAAGCATGGAATACATTGGCTCCAGAGGTAGGAACCGCTGTGAACCGAGTGGGCTTCAAGCTGCATCCAGGAGGGATCTTCATCGAGGAGGGGCACATAACTCTCACCGGCCCGGCCATAAGCTGCAGCAGATGTCTTGCCAAGGCCGGCTCTGGCGGCGCTTTCCACGTGTCAGCGGGACGCATGACAATCTCCGGCATGGTGACAGTCAACGACAGCATGGCTGCCCTGGGCGGCGGCGATGCCGTGTACGTGAAGAAGGATCTGCACCTCCACACTGCGATCCTGGCCGGCAGGACAGCCGCCCTTGCCGTGGGCGGACATGCGTCCATCGCACGACTGCTGTGCACGGAAGCAGTCAACGGCTGCTATGTGGAAGGGTCTTCGGCCAACATTGCTGCAGTGCAGTGCCAACGAGGAGGAGGGTTGCAGGAGTCGGGCGTCCAGACAGGCTGCCTGAAGTGCGCCGAGGGCCAGATCCGTCTGGCAGCCAACAGCAGCCACTGCCAGCCATGCCCCAGCATCCCAACGGCAGCTGTTGGCTGCGATTCCACGGAGCTCGAGATACCTCCAGGGTACATGGTCTAGGACTCGGCTTTTCTTTTTGGTCATTTTTGTACCTTTTTTGGCTCGGTGACGGATGCCAAGGTGAACACGACCAACCTCACGGACTGGTACCGCTGCCCGAACACGGCCACGTGCCCAGGTGGAATCTGGAAGGCTGGCCGCAAACTGGAGGACGGAGAGCCCACGCAGCCAAACCTGTTGCCTTACAGCTGGGTCAAACCCTAAACTAAACCCCAAATCCTAAACCCTTTCACTCGAGGATGCAGTCGAAGTGGTGCAGCCCATGTGCGCCCTCGGCTACGAGGGGCCTGGGCTGCTGGGCACAAATGCTACAGTTTAGGGTTTACGGTTAGGGTTGATTTAGGGATTTTTGGGGTTTTCGGGCTTAGGACTTTATGGTTGGCTTTGCCGGCACTGAGTGCTCGCAGTAAAGGTTTGCAAAAGTTCTCGCAATAAGGGTCCTGGCAGAATGCTACTTCTGAGTCAGGGGTGGGTTCATTGTGGTTCAGCAGCCTTGCTTTCTCATGCTGGCATGGCTCATCTATCCATCTATCTATCTATCTATATATATATATTCTATATATAGTGTATATATATATATATACATGTGTTTGCTTCTGGTAGATTCCCCAAGACGCCGTCACCCTGAACCCACAAGCGTGGCTTTTTGGTGCACAGGCTAGCTCTCAAGTAGTAGGTCTTTGTGTCGTCTCCTTGCATCATGTCTCGTACCGTTGCATGGCACAAAAGCTGGGTGCTCTCTCTTTAAACGGTCGCCCTAAGGTGCATGCGCTGCGCCGCGGAGTTCGCTTGGGCCGACAGCACCGCAATGCAGTGCATACGCTGCTCCACGTCCCAGTGGGAGGCTGGGAGGTGCTCAGAGCAAGCCTGGAAATGGATGGACTCGCCCGTTGGCGCAGGTCGTCCGTTTCGCCCTGTTCTATCTGGCCAAGCAGATGGGGCTGTTCATGTTTGCCGTGGCCACTGCCGACAGCTGAGGGCACATAGGGCACCCAAACACACCCAGAATGAGTTTATTCTTGTCTGGATCTCGCGATGGCACGTTGCGGCCCAGGTGACCAACGCGAAGCGCGACAAGAACAACAGCTCCGCCATGCTGAATCAGCTCATGGCCTTTGCGGCCGTGGCGTCCGTAGCCATGTGCCTCCTCACGCATCAAGCTTGTTCGATGTCCACTTGAGACTCCTGCTCGCAGCTCCAAGCCCCTGCACCAAATCTGATAGCCTCAACCCTGACAGCTTGAGGTCAGGTGCCATGCAGACGGGCGCCTTCCGCCATTTGCAAGACTGGGGATTGTGAAACAGGGTGGAAGGTTATAAGAGTCTAAGAAAGGGCTTGAGTCCTTGAAAGTGCAGACAAGCCGCCTCAATCCGCGCCGAGTCAGCTATGCCAGCTGCGCCCCTGCTCTAGGAGTCCGCGCACAGGCTGGCCTCCCTGCTGGAGTCCTTGCAGCTCCCCATAGCCCTGGCCCAGGGCCAAAGCACAGGTGCCCAGGTCTCCAGCCACTGCCTGCTCAGTCGCTGGGGCCTGGACGGCTCCTTCGTCACCGTGCACTGGGCAACCTCCATCTTGCCGGCCTTTCTCGTTGCAGCTCCGCCGCGCTGAGGGTATGTTGAGCCCCGCTAAAACCCTAAAACCCCAACATCCGAGGCCATTCTCCTGGCGGCCCAAGGCCTGGGAGTTGCCGTGGTGGTCGGCGTGAACGTCTTCCTCCCCGCGTTCACCTCTGCCTTCGGCCGGTACCTAGCGACTCTGCTCTGTACAGTGTTTAGGGTTTAGGGTTTAGGGTTTAGGGTTTCGGGTTTATTTCGGGTTTAAGGGATTCCGATCAAACTGTCCGCACAAACGAGGTGGCATATCGGCTTCGGCCCGAGGGCGAGGAGGGCGGCAGGGAGCCTGAGCTGCAGGGCATTCGAGCATTGGGGGGTGGGTTTACGTTAATTAGGGTTTAGGGTTTGGGGTTTAGGGTTTAGGGTTTAGAATTTTAGAACTTAGGGTTTACGAAAGTAAGGGGTGCCTTATTGGGTCCCTGATTACAAGGGCATCCCACTGTTTGGGGGTCTATTTTGGGGGGTCGTAAACCCCCATGTGGCTTCCCTTGCAGCAAGGCAATTTTGGCTGCCTGGCTCTTGTTTCGGATTTCTAACCCCTGCACTCTAAATCCTGAACCCGAAACCCCAAACCCTGAACCCAAGAAACTCTGAAGCCGAAGCCTTACAAAGGAGCTTCGCATGGACTTCCTGCCCTCCGGAGATCCCCACACCGTCATCGCGCTCGTGCTCACGGCCATCGTCCTCTGCTTCCTCTTTGCCATCGGCAGCTGGTCCTACATCGTGCCTCGGCTCCGACCCAGGTGGCGGGTCAGCTGCCCAAGAAGGCCTTGTTCCGAACCGTGAGGCGCTGCCCAGGCTGAAGCCGCCTCAGGGCCCCCTGGTTCCAGCAAGAGGCCACAAATCCGAGCCAGGCTATGTGTTTCGCAGCTTCTTTTGTAAGCTTGTGCGCCTAAACTATGTGCCTGCCCATGTTTAACTGTGGCAGGGGTGCACTTGGAGCTGTGGTTTTCCGCAGTCTGGGACTACCCGAATTCTCGCACCGAAGACCCACCCTGATGATTGTGCCCGCCCCCTTTTCGCCTTGGCTTCAACGCCTCTTGCCGCCCTTAACTCCCAGGTCTGGACACGCAAGGAGCCCTTCCAGCAGCATGTCGCCTTCCTCACGGCCTCGTACAAGCCCAGCTGCTCAGCTTGGGAGGCAGGGAGGATAGCAGGGGCCCGGAATGATTAGAATGGGGTTTTTGGGGGTTATCATGGTATGAATTTTGAAGGGGCCCTAAGGGAATACATGATACCGGAGACTCGTATTACTGAGCATCCGGGGGAGGTTGCATTGATGACGGCACCCTGGTGTTTCCATCGAAACCCACACCCCGCCTGCACCAGTAAGTCGCAGTTTCGTTGTTGTCTGCATGTGTGCACTTGCCGCCTGGCCGCAGCGCTTTCCGACGGCAGAGGCCTCGTGTCCCCGCTGTAGTGCCAGGGAAGGGTCCAGACTGATGTGGGTATTTCCTAACCAGGAGTAATTTTAATCGCTTGTGCGGGTCGCCTCGGCCGGCGGACCGGCGCAAGTGACGGGACGTGGCCGTCGGTGGTCCAAGTGGCACACTTCAAAGTTTCCTGTCCACACAGCCGGGTTGAAAGATGCCGAAGAGCAGCCACCCGCAAACTCGCAACCTTAAACCCTGTAGTGTAGGTGAGCTTGGGGGATGTGTAGGTTTGCTGGAGAATTCCTCAGTGTCACGTCGGTTGTCTGCTCAGCCGTGCGCTTGCTAGGCTGGGCCACGCAGTCTGCTTGGAGGTTCATGGTACTTGTCAACCAAGTATAACGGTACTTATAACCCACTTATAAGCCCCTTGGGTGCCCCATTATTATGTTTATGAGTCCAGCTTTCAGGGCAGTTGTGATTGGCTGATAAGTACCACGAACCAGAAAGCAGAATCCAGAAGGCATCCAAGACCATTCGCATAGGAGTTTTGGGAGGGGCCGAGGTAGCGCAGTGGTTTCAGGTTTCCTTCGGCAGGTTGTAGGGGGATTCGGGACTAAATCCTGAACCCTAAACCCAACTGACAATGTTTCGCTTAGACTAGATGGCTTAGATCTTTGGCCCCTGGGCGACCGAGCCAATGCTTCGGCAACCGACCGGATCTCGCCCTGAAAGTTGCGGACTTCGTGGGCTTTTTGGGGTTTAGGGCTGAGCTACGCCAGGCCTGCCCCAAACCCCAGAACACACCAAACCCCCCACTGGACATACGCCTGGGTATTACGGCCCATGGTTTTGTTCGCCCTTGGCCATTACGTCATGGGAAGAGGGTCATGGGGAGAAGTGCTGCGGGGCAACGGAGAAGCCCCCTTCGAAGTTCGCTGCGTGGGGCCTCAGGGGAGAAGCAAGCCCGTGGTCCGTGGCTTGCGTGCAAGACAGGGGCAGGGGGCAGAGGGGACCTGCAACTCCCCTATGACCTCTTGGTCACCGACGGTATAGCGGTGGCACGGCTGAGACACGGGGCCATAAGAGGCCGAACCAACCGGCACGGGTTTTTGTGTCAATGTGATGTGGTGCGGGGCGCGTCGCACCGCTACTGGCGTCACGCGTTAGAAAGGGCAAGGTGTGCTGTGCAGGGGGAGGGTTCCAAGAAGTCCCATTGTGAAAGGAGGAAGGAGACGAGTTTTTTTTGGTCTGCTTGTTCCAACATTTCCGGGGAGGCCAGCGAAGTATGCCCCATGGGATGTTCCCCCTTATCCTGACACTCCTTAATAGGCATTGTAGTCGGGGGTAGTACCATCCCTATTAAGGACTGCTAGTATAAGGGGAAACATCCCACTACATACACCCCTCAAGTGCGAGAAATTCAAGATTGCAAACTCTTTTTGCGGAAGCCCGCCCCTGTCCCGATGCCCTGGAGGTGGAGCGCCTGGCCCGGAAGATGCTCCTGGGCCTCCTCCCGGCGCTCCTGCCCGTGTCCCTCTCTCCGGCGCCCTGGCCCCCACAACACACCTCTAGGGTTTAGGGTTTAGGGTTTAGGGTTTAGGGTTTAGGGTTTAGGGGGATATGCCCCCACAACACACCTCGGATGCGTGCCCCCCAAGACCCCCAAGACTATGACATGGGGCTTCCCAGAAGCTTATGCAACTTCTGAAGCCCAAGGGAATATTCAGGAATCGTTTGGGTTTCTTGTTCTAAGGGGAGTCGAGGCTCAGGACGGTGCTTGAGAATTCGATCTTCCTTGGTTTCTTGCTGGAGTTTCTATGAAGCTGAAGGGTGCATGGGTTTTGTGGACCGAGGCGCTGCAGATGGGTGGGGTCAGCCTGATCCTCCTCGTGTCCTTGGTCCTCTATATCCACTACCAACCGTACAAGGCCTCGACCCTAAACCCTAAACACTAAACCCTGAGCCCTAAACCCTAAACCCTAACCCATAAACCCTAACCCTAAACCCCATAACCCCTCGCATCAAGCAAGGTCCCCGGTCTCAGGTCTACACCCGGAATGTGAGGCTCATAAGTGGTGTACAGTAGAAGGAGGAGCAGCCCACATTAGATATCAGCATTGTTTCCTTCTCATCCGCGACTCCAAACTTCCCAAAATGCCTACTAGAAATTAAACAGGCCACTTCCCTAGATGCCTGCACGTCATCAGCTGTCTTGGCAGACGTGTTGTTGGGTCCATCGCTCTGCTCATCCAACTAGAAGATGCACTGAACCCTGTGCTTGGGCGGCGCTGAAGCGTAGCCCAGGACCCAGCGCAGGCCCTTACCCCCTGTTGTTAGGGTTTAGGCTCCCTTATAATTTTTTTTGGGCACCTTTTAAGCCGAAAAATCCTAAACCCTAAACCCTAAACCCTCATCCCTAAACCCTAAGCCCCAAACCCTAAACCCTAAACTCTAAACCCTAAACCCTAGACCCTAAACCCTAAACCCTAAACCCTAAACCCTAGACCCTAAACCCTAAACCCTAAACCCCAAACCCGAAAGACGGTCAGGTGGAGTTTTGGAACCAGTTGGAGATGGCCCTTCTACTCGTGGCACTGGCGATCATGATCATGACGTCGTGCGGCCCGGTCGAGCTGTGGTTTAGGGTTTAGGGTTTAGGGTTGAGGGCTTTAGGGTTTAGGGTTGAGGGCTTTAGGGCTTAGGGTTTGGGGGTTGAGGGTTTAGGGTTTAGGGGTGGCTGTATACTCTGGCCACATGTTTGGGAGTCGCTTTTCATGTCCTAGACTTCCCAGACTTCCTAAGCTTCCGAAACTTCCCAAAAATTCCCAAACTTCCGAAGCCTCCTAAGCTTCCTGAGCTTGCCAAGCCCTAGACCCCTAACCCCGAACCCCGAACCCCTAAACCCTAAACCCTAATTCCTAAACCCTAAACCCTGAACCCTAAACCCTAAACCTAACCCCTAAACTCTAACTCCTCTCCAACAACTGGGAGAAGCTGCTGGGCTCGAGGCTTGGTGGCCAACGACTTCCACTGGGCCAACTCCGGCGCCACGCAGGACCCCCACATGTGATTTTTCCGGGTTTATATGGGGTCAATGTTCGTATTATTGTTATTGTGATTCTCAAACCCCTAAACTGTAAACCCCAAGCGCGCCACGCTAAACCTCAAAACCCCAACCCTAAACCCTAAACCCGACCCTGCGCAGGCTGCCCTGCTTTTCACGATCTGCCTCCTCGCCTCTGAGCCTGGTCGGCATACGTAGGCCAAACAGATCCTTCCTGGCGGGGTTTAGGGTTTAGGGTTTAGGGTTGGCACTCCTTCTGGCTTGGTTCAGTTTTGGTAATTCGGGAGAAGGAACATCAAAGCTTTGCCTCCTCAGCCCTTGACACATGGCATTGATGGGTTTCCTTCCAAAAGGTGTTGCATGCAGGCGGCTGTCGTTTGAGGACCCTATATAAGCCCTAAACCCTAAACCCTAAACCCTGAACTCTGAACCCTAAGCCCTAAACCTTTTTAACCCCCAACCATAAAACCCCAAACTCTATCAACCCCAAATCCTGCGCCCTTACTTGGCTTTGCATCCTGAGGGTGTGTCGGTGGTCATGATCGGGGCCATCGCGCTGGCCTTCTACGATGAGCGCCGTGGGGGCTTGGGGCGCAGTGAGAAGTGAGACAAAAGGATTGTTTCCTGCAGGCCGCAGACCAGATGGGGCATCCCTTCCAGCGTCTTGTGTTCGAGTTTTGCGCATGTGGGCACAAGTCCTGGCACCTCAATCCTAAACTTGAATTCCTGAACCCTTGATAGCCTTGGCCTTCTTCTTCACCACCCCCGACTTTCTCTTGGCCTGCGCAGCTTCCTCTACCTGGCTCGAGCAACTCCTTCAATCGGAAGATATAGGTTTCAGATTTCAGGCAGCTCTCTAAGTCAGGATCCCCTTTTTGGGATCCCTTGTTTTAAACGGGCTTCGCCTTAGAATGGTTACCCGAAAAGGGACCCTAATGTAGGAAACGACTCATGTGTCTCTTCATGGTGTTCTTGTTGAGCCTCGACGTGCTCTTGACTGAGTGATCTCTCAATGCAAGCGCCGGACAAGCCTCTGGGGGGATTCGTGGGCTCGCTCTTGCGGCTCTTGCAACTTTTTTTGTTGTTGTGTGTGTGTGTGTGTGCGCGCGTGTGTTTGTTTGTTTCTTAGCTTTGAACAATCACATGAAAACGTCAGCAGCGTCCTGAAGGGAAGGACCTCGGTAGAAGGGGCGACTGTCTTTTGAAATGTTCGTCCTCCGGCTGAATTGAAGACGCCATATATGCTGTCCCAAACGTGTCGCTTCTCCAGCTTTGATGCATGGCCTATGCAACCCATAGCCATGTCCGTTTGTGCCGGATGCCCATGAGCTTCAAGCCTCATCGGCTCAAGACGCCGTTTGCGAAACATTTTTTGGCCCTCTCCGCATTTTGCAGGGGGCGCCTTCGTGTCACGGCCTCCATGCCGCAATCGTAAGGTTCCTCTTTTCTTGGGATGTGGGCCCTCCGTGCTCTGCCTCTGTGCTGGCTCCTGGCATCACCTGAGCGCCCGGAGCTCAACCACAGAGAAGGTGGGGGGTGGGGGACCCCAAACCCCAAACCCCAAACCCCAAACCCCAAACCCCAAACCCCAAACCCCAAACCCCAAACCCCAAACCCCAAACCCCAAACCCCAAACCCCAAACCCCAAACCCGCGATCCCTGTCTAGGGATCGCGGAAAAGTTGTGGGGTGAACACGACACAACAAGGACAACTAACTTTCAGGACACGAAACGTCAAAGTCAGCTTGCACTTGCGGACCTAGCCCTGACACAAAGAGAAACCCAAACCCTGGTTGCGAGGCCCTAGCCCAAAACTCAACGTTTGTGTTTTGGGGGGTCCAAACCTTGAAACCTCAACGTTTGGGCATGCGGATCAAAAAAAGTTATTTAGGATCAAGAAAAAACTATTTAGGATCAACAAATAATTTATTTAGGATCAAGAAAAATGTTTTTTTTCTGTTCTTCCGACGGGGAGGGTGAGAAGGAGGGAGGGTGAGAAGGAGGGAGGGAAGGAAGGACGGAAGGAAGGAAGGAAGGAAGGAAGCAAGGAAGCAAGGAAGCAAGGAAGCAAGGAAGCAAGGAAGCAAGGAAGCAAGGAAGCAAGGAAGCAAGGAAGCAAGGAAGCAAGAACGCAAGGAAGCAAGGAAGCAAGGAAGCAAGGAAGCAAGGAAGCAAGGAGGCAAGGAGGCAAGGAAGCAAAGAAGGAAGGAAGGAAGGAAGGAAGGAAGAAAGGAAGGAAGGAAGGAAGGAAGAAGTCAAGAAAGAAAGAGCAAAAAGAAAGACGTGCCAGCTTGCTTCAAAGCATACGCATCTTTTCGAAACCCATTATGCGAGCATTGTGTTTGCAAATGGGGGGGGGCCCCCCACAACCCCCCGCTTTTTTGAAGTCGTGCCAGCTTGCTTCAAAGCATACGCGTCTTTTCGACGCCTCTGATAAGCGTCTCGGCTCTCAGCGTTTCGTATAGCGGGCCCCCACTAGCTGACCGTAGTGCCCCTTCGGTGATTTCTGTACTCTTCTCACCATTTGAAGCCATTCTGCCTGTTACTCAGATTCGCGTTGTGGCTCTGGAACTGGTTGCAGACTGCTTGCTGAAAAGTCAAGACACTATTGACATTGACAGTGCCTTGGACCTCGCAGGGCAGCTGTGGAATCAGGATACTGCAGACGAACTTGTGCCAGCGATCCTTGAGGTTCTACCGAGAGAACAGGGACTTCAGCTGGTGGCCATCATTTCTGTCAGGTTCCCGTTGTTGTGTGTAGCACTTGAGCAACAACTTGCAAAGACTCTTATCAGCCTGATCTCAGACAAACCATGAATCTCGCTCTGCACTTGATATTCACAGTCATCCTTTGCCGCAGATGCATCCCCGCCTACGCCAGTGCCATGAGGCGCACTGGTCGGCCAGATCCCACTGTGTGCAGTCAACGGCCCCTAGGGGAGCCAGCTCCAAAGCCAGCGCACGAAATAAGAGAGGACCCCAAGTCCCCACCCCCCCCCCAAACCAACAGAAGCTTCCATCTTTGCCCCCCTCATTGCAGCTCCCACCACCACCGCTCGCTAGTTCCTCTTCAAATGACAGAATCCATGGAGTGCCGAGGAGCGCGCAAGGGCTCCTGGACTGGAGCGAATCAGAGAGCTCCGCACATGAGACAAACATGCTCCCAGCGGACAGGACCGACAGTCCCACAATCGGCCCCAGCCCGGGGGAAGCCGATGGCCCAGGTCAATCCTCCAGCCCTGCACAAGGACCGGGCACCGACGACTCACTCTCGACAGACTCAGAGCCGCCACCACAACCTAAGGGTCGCAAGGTGGGCATATCGAGCAATGCTGTGGCATACGCAATTTCCACAGGTTCATGTGCGGGCCTTATCACCAGACTCCTCGGAGACATTCGAAGTCTACCTCCTAGGAAGAGGCGAAAGAAGGCTGCTGAACTTCTCGCTAAGTGTGAGACCTTGCAGGCCGGAACTGATGCTTGTTAGAGGCACCTACCGAAGGCCTTCCTTGACTCTTCGAGGGCCTCACCGTAGACACATGTGGCATATGTGCCCTGTCGCAGTTAGCTATGCTCGGCACGGAACGCCAGCCCTGATACCCAATCAAATCCTCAACATGCTCGCATCCCAGGTGCAGTGTACCCGAAGTGGGAAACTCGGTGTAGCAAGATGCATAGCCCTGCACCCGACTGTACTCCCATTGCCTGACACTCGCAGATGTCATACCCGCCCCAAACCCGGAATATATGCCCAGGTCACTCCAAACCGAAGAGCTGCGGGTGCCGTATTCGGCCCTACACAAAGCACCTGTGGGAGGACCTCGGGGTTTCTAAGTGCGAGAATGGAGATCCGTGTTGTAGAGTGGTTGCCGGGCTGCAGGAACATGATGCACGTCACGCCTGATTGCATCAGCATATACATGTGTGGTATCTTTGCCGATAGCATGTCAGATCAAAAGTGGCATCGATATCCCCGAGCTCGGGTCAGGCCCGACGGCACTAGGAGGCGCACCCGCAATGAACTGGCTGCCCGCAGTGCTCGCCGCAATGCCCCTGGCAATCAAAGGGAAAGAGCCGACACTGCGGCCCCCCGTGCTCAGGAGATGAATCAGCAGCCCTGGCGACAAGCGGCCGATCGCGAGAGCCGACAGCCACACTGGCAGAATGCGCGGGGAGCCGACGCTCGGCCCCGGGATCAACATCAGGACTGGTACTACGACGAGGAGGACGAAGATGATGAGGACTACCAGTTTGACACCAGTGACCGGCACGAAGTGCATGCGACGGAAGACGAAGAGGGCTACCTCAAGATCTGGTGGCAGGGAGAATGGTGGTTCCGGCAGAAACCGCCAGACCCACCGGCATCGCCAAAGAAGAGACAGCAGGCTAGCAGCTCGAGCGAGCAAAGGAGGCCTACCACTGAGGGAGCCGTTCCCCCGGCCCCTGCCCAGCATGTCTCCGAGGGCCTCAAGCAATTCGTCCCCCCTGCCCGAGACAGTGTGCCTCCACAATCCTTGAGAGCCGTGCGTGAGAAGTGGAACCTGCTGGCCATCATCGAAGATGACATCAATGTCCTGCGCAAAAAGAAGGTCGCCCTCATGTTCAAAACTTTCTTCGAAATGGGGCACTTCGTCAAGCATCATGACGACTTCCACCACTCGGAGTCCCTGAAGATCATCCCGGCCGCAGGCAACTGGAACCTTGCGTTTGCCATGTGCCTGATTTCCAGAGACAAGCTCCACTACGCGAACCACTCCACCTTCGGCACAGCTGTGGAATGCTGGTTATGGAGCCTGTCCAAAGATGCGGACTTCGAGCCCATCCTCACCCAGTTCGCCGGCATGCTGCACAGCGTCATCGCACTGTTTGAGGGAGTCCCCATGTCGCTGCATGAACAAATCCATTGGTTCGATAGTCATCAAGACCTGGCAATCAAATTCGACTACTACTTCCCCACCGAGCAGCTGAAGGATGATGAGCAAATTGTCCGTGTGGCAATTCAGGACCAAACCAGCCAGGACAGCAGAGATGATGACATGCCGGACAGGACCTCCAAGCACAGGGGAAACACGGCTCCTGCAACCAGGACTGCCGAGCTGGCTTCGTCTGATGCCTATGTGGAGATGGAGGTTGACTACCCAACGGGGCAAACGCCACCAAATCAATCTGGCAGCATCCCCCACTCCCCGCGCAGGGTCGAGAGATATAACATCTACACGGAGACGACCTACGCCAGTAGTGATGGCACCTCTCTGCCCATGCCAGCACGCGATTCGGCCCCCCTTGGGGAGCCGACGAAGCTCTACTGGAAACTGGATCAGTCTCTCTCCAAAAGACTGTCAGTTGTTCTGAGGCACGACTCTGAAGACTTCGGCTTGACGTTCGACGAGGCAGGGTGGACCAAGGTGTCAGACCTTTTACGTACCTCCATCATGAAGGAGAAGGGGGCAACCCTCAACTACATCCGCTCGGTGGTCTACTGGAACGACAAGCAACGCTTCGCGCTCGAATGGCGAGGTGCCGATCTCTACATCAGGGCGGTTCAAGGTCACTCCAAGAAAGGAATACGTGATGAAGCGGTCATGCGGCCCCTTGGGGATGCCGAGTTGCCGGAGCACGTCCTCCATGCAACCAACTGGGACTTCTACGGCTCGATCTTGGCGAAGGGCATCATCACGGGAGGCCTCTCCCAGTCCCGGACACACATTCATTGCGTGTCAGTAGACAAAAGTGAATATCGGAATTACCCCGCGCATTGTGACATCGCAATCATAATCTCCCCGAAAGAATCGGGGGCCGTCTGGTTCCGTTCAATGAACGGCTACTATTTAACCCGGGGTGCCGATGGCAAGCTGGCCCCGCATTGTATAAAGGCCGTCAGGATCCTGGCATCGGGAGAAGAAGTTTTTGGCTCAGAGGGGCCACCGGCTGCTGACCTCGTCATGCAAGCCATCGTTCGGTCTCACTCTTTCCGGTCCTCCAGGGGAAGCCGATCTTCGGCCCCCAATGACCGTGACCACGACCGCACTGCTGCTCAGAGAGCATACACGGGGGTTGTTTTGCATCATCATTTCCGTTGCACCGTCTCCTCTACCCAATGCATACACACCAACCCCTCGCCTCTGCTGCAGGACTATGATCGACGAGATGTCCCAGGTCCCGAGAGTCAGTACGCTAGGTTAAGATGGGGACACATCCTTCTGCTGGGAGTGTTTTTGGTCGGTGGGAAAGGTTATGCAGGCAGGCTTCTTTCGCTGCAAAGAGATAGACTAACTAAATGGCTCTGCACCAGGAGAATCAGAGGTTGCTACAGAAGGAGACCCTACATCCTCAGCACACATGCCACGTGCACTACTAACCTATTTACAACACAGATGGGTGAGCCCGCCAGACGCACATCACCGAGCCGCGCTGGTCCCAAGTCCAGCGGCTGGGCCCCAAGCTTTCGAAGTCTCTTCTGGATGTGGATCCTTATCCTTTGTGGAAGCTTCGTGACAGCAAATGGGGGTCGAGCAGACGTGAGGGTTACCACGGGTTCCAGTACCGTGGTGGGAGCCACACAACATCGGCCCCAACAGTCCAATAGAATGGGCGAAGACACTGGCCAGGCAATACGTAATCACCACAACAGCATCGGGTGGATCGCCAAGAGATCGCTGCGACGAGCTCGCGCACGAGCCTATGCCACAGGCGGCACTCACTATAAGGGCACATGGTACACTAGGGAAACACTGACAAAAACCACAGGGGGCATACACCAGCTGGGGCCGAATGACCGGCCGGCTAAACCCACAAAGCATCCCAAATCTAACAAAGCATCTCACCTTAGATGTCTCACCTGGAACATGAGCGGGGGGTCGCAGGCGGCCTGGCAAGAACTCATGTCATGGTTAAGTGAGAAACCAGATGACTTTGACATTGTGTTCGTGCAGGAAACACACTGGAAACAGGAGGGGTGCCGCACCTTCTCGTCCGGCCCCTGGTTCGTCGTCTCCTCAGGGGCTACAGGCAAAGACAAATGCTCAGGAGTTGCCACTCTGATCCATCAGAATATCTGCAAGCAAGATAATGTTAGCTACAGGGTTATTAGGCAAGGCAGAGTACTCTCGGTTCGACTACATCACCAACAGAACGGCTCCGATCTTCTGAATGTCTACCAGCATGTGTGGAGGACAAACATTGACAAAGCCGAGAACCTGAAAGCTCGGGCCTCAATCTGGGATGCGATACGGTCTAGCATCATGAAGAGTCCACAAAGGAACGACTTGATTATTGCGGGAGACTTCAACTGCTCCATCAAAACCTCGAGGGGATTGATAGGTAGTGCCGTGGTTGCCAAAGTAGAGGGATCGCCTGACGAAGATGACTTTCTCGGAATACTCCAGGACTTCGGCCTCACTCTCCTCAATACGTGGAACTGCACTCCGGCACATACGTGCGTGCACCAAGGCACCAAAACACAATTGGATTTCGTTGCGTGTAGGGTCCAGCACGCAACTCGCACTGCTAGACACAGCAGACCCATGCATCAAGTCGCCCTCGGAAAATGGAAGGCCAATCACCACATCCCGGTGCAGGCTCACATCCGTAGAGTCGCGCCATGTCGCCTCCCGAACCCAGTCAAACCTTCGATGGCGTCGAGGCAATGCATCCAAGACTCCATTGCACAAGCAGATGACCGGGCTAAGAAGTTAAAGCACCTCATCGACGCGGATATTCAGAAGCTGGACCCTGACTTGCATCTTCACAGCTTCACGCGGCAGGTGGATGAGATCATGAAAGAACACATGCAAACCGTCTACCCTCCAGAACCTGCAGTTGACAACCGCGTTTCGCAAAATCCGCAGTTTAAGCACACCGCGAAAGAGATGTGGGCTAAGTACAGGGAATGGAAATCCACCAAAGCGAACAGCTTAATCGAAACTCTCCGGAAATGGAAAAAGTACACTGAGTTTCGCGTGGCCTCTAAAGCGATGAAACAAACTGCCAAGAAAATTAAACGTGAAAAGCTGCAGGCTGTCGCCGAGGACCTACAAGCAGCTGCCGCTAAGGGCGATCAAAGGAAAGTGTGGATGAGCGCTAGAAAATTAGCTCCCTGGAAACCCTTCGCGCGCACACACATCCGCAGCGAAAAGGGAGAAATCCTCACTCCCAAAGAACAACTGGCTGAGCTAATTAAGCACAGCAGAAACAAGTTTTGTCAGGGAGAAGACTATTTGCCCAATCACCGAGTCACTGAACCCATTCTTGTTCAGGCCAAGGACCTCGTTTGGGCCCTAGGAAAACTACCTTTTCGCAAAGGGGTGCCGAAGCTGTCGGCCCCGGCAGCAGTTTGGAGATTGTGCCGTGACCAGGTAGCCAAAACGCTGGAACCCATCCTGATGCGATCCTGGGGGGAGGAGTCCCTCTGCGTCATCCCACACGTGTGGAAAGACACATACCTCGTATGGTTGCCTAAACCGCAGAAAGACCCCAGCCGCCCGTCCGGGCTTCGTCCCATAGGACTCTCCCACCCTCTCTCGAAATCGGTATGTACCCTGCTGAGAGAACACATCCGACCACTTCTTGAGGAAGCGCTGGTCACTCGACCGCAATTTGCTTATACTGCCGGCAGAGGGGTTCTAGACGCCTTACTGAGAGTGCATAACCACCTGAGAGAGGCACGTGCGTATGCGACCCTGAGCAAACAAAGCATATATGACCTTCATGCCGGAGCTACCCAGGTTAAATGCGCAGGAGGCATATGCTTCTCCCTTGACCTTGAGGGGGCGTTCGACAATGTACCTCGCACTGCCCTTGCCACTAGCCTGAGACGACTAGGGGTCTCCGAAACGCTGGTGCAACTACTTATGCAGTTCCATTTTGAGGCAAGGTATCACTGCTCAGTTGGCGTTCATGAGGACCACGTCACGACCACACGGGGCATCAAACAAGGCTGTACGGTCGCGCCGTATTTGTTTGTGGCACACACAATTGCTATCATTGACACACTAGCGGAGCGCCTAGGCTGGGACTGGGTAACGCAGCTGTTCACTTTTTACGCCGACGACGCCTTAGCCGCATGGACGTTAAAAAGCGCTGAAGACCTTCAGGGTGCCATTTGCGGCATCCAAAAAGTCGTGCAAACCTTTAACGACCACGGTATGACTCTCAGCGCAACCAAATCGGTCGTGCTGTGTCACGCCAAGGGAGCAGATGCCATTAGGATTTTGCAGAAACTTAAAGTCTTCAAGGACAAACTCCCACACCTTGCCTTCATGCAACACGGCGAGCAGATTCTGATCCCTCTCAGGAAAACACATCAGTACCTAGGTACCGTCATTTCCTATAGAGACGCCCAGGAGAAAACTGTTCAGCTACGTATGCGTAAGGCGAGGGGTCAATATAGCCAGCTTCGTAAAGCCATCAACTCCAGACGCGTAACGCACAACCGTCCCAGGTACCAAATCTGGAGAGCCGGGGTGTGGAGCTCAGCAGCGCACGGGCTACTGGCGGTGGGCGTTAGACCCACAGGACGTAAGCATCTTCGTGCAATGGCTGCCAGACAGATGCGGGCTATTGCCAAAAAGCCGGCGCATCTTACCCTAGTGACCAATGAACAGATCCAGAAGCATCTCAATGCTGAGGACCCCCTGCAGGCGCTCGCTAACCAAGGCCAGAGAATGCATGACGCACTTGAGACAGTTGCAGCAGAGTGCCCCAGCGACATTAGGGCCCTTCCACAGGTCCGGGCGCAGCTCGCGCTGGCTATCAACTCACTCCATTCGATGAATACAGGTGAGCAGCTTCCTGAAGATAAGGAGTCAGACCCTTATACCTGTCCGCATTGCAGTCAGCAATTTCGCACTATCACTAGCCTCCGACAGCATAAGGCATGGAAGCACCCAGAAGATAAGCCAGAACTGCTCAGTTTTGATCCGGCAAACCACGCACTGAAAGGTCTGCCCCAGTGTGCCTTCTGTAAATTCAAATACGGGGCATGGATTGGGCTTAAAGCACATATTGAAAAAGGATACTGCCCTGTTCTTTATCCGGAATGCAGTACTCAGGGAGCCGCGGTCGGCCCCGAAGCAGATACTAGCACCAATCCAAAAGCTCCAGAGGAGGCCACTGCAAATGAGCCGCCTCCCATAGCCCAAAAGCCGGTTCTTGATGTTGCTCGGCAACAAGGCTGGAAAAGTCTGCTAGATGCCGATGTTGTGTCGTCCCTCAAGCAACATTGCTGTGTTTGCAAGCGATGGATCGCCGATCCCACGGCTCTGAAGCGACACATAGTTAGGGCCCACAAGGACGTGTGGGCAGTCACCGCCAACGGCAAACTTGAGGAGCGATGTGCACAGGTCAAGCCCCGACTCCTCCGAAATGGCACCTGCCCGTGGTGTGACAGGTCCTCCCCCTCCAGACATTACTTCCAATGCAATGTGATCTTCCAATGTGCCCTGATAGGACTACACTGTGAACATGACGACGGAAGTGGTGAGCGTCTTCGGCAACCTACTACCAGGGCTAGCGACGAACATGAGAGAGACCTCGAAGCAGCCGAGGGAAATGGACCGGGAGACCGAGAACGCACCGAACAAGCGACCCAAAGCGGCCCGGCGAGGACAGCGGGGAGGCCGGCGACAAATTGCAGACGAGAACCTGAACTCGGTGGTGACGCTCCTGGCAAATCTGTCGCTGCAGCAGGAGGACGCCCTGAACCGTCTACGCCTGGACACATCCTTCACTTTCCACCTCCAGCAACAAGGCCCAGGAACCATATTGCTGCCGCTTTTCAAGGCGGGGCAGGAATGGCAACAAAAACAGAAGAAAGGAGAGAACGTCCCCCCGATGAGAATCGTTGCGCTGGGCCTCCTGCTGAAAGAGGTCGTGGCAAGAGTACAACTGATGGTGGGAGATCCCACGGCCGTGGAGAATGCGATGAAACATCAGTGGCTAGACCAGCAGAAGCGCTTCGTGTATCAGGAGTGGAACTCGGCCACCAAAAAGGTGGAGCCGTCGGCGACGGCCAAGAGCCTGAAGGTGGAAGAGGCGACGGAGCTCATCAACCATGTCGCCAAGCTGTGTCTTCCGGATCTGGTCACCAGGTTCTGCGCCCAAAGGCGTCCCAAGCAAGAGCCCCAGGAAGGCGACAAAGCAGTGTTCCTCATCGAAGTAGCCATGAGAGACCCGAGAGCAGACATCCTGCATCAGAAACTGCGACAGTTGGCCAACTGCGCGGTTTGGAATGTGGTGGGGGCGCAACTGCAGCCGCCAAACCAGCAACGCCACGGACTGGCAATGGCACTGCAAAAGGCCCTGGAAAACATCTGAGCGCTGCAGGAAGCGTACGGCCACCTGCTGGTGTGCCGAGTGTCTCTCGCCTCAAGCTTAAAAATAGTGGCAACACTTGCTACATCAACTCCGTCATAACTGCCACCCTGTGGCAAGCACAGCTCAGGCCGGGGAGCCGCATACCCGATGCTTGGCAGAAGGCACTTGCCAAAACGCACTGGGATGCAGCCATGTTTCTCCGCATGTACATGCTAGGCTGGGCGCAGCCCAACAGACAGCATGATGTGAGTGAATTCATACAGTTCATCATCCCTAAGCTTGCTTGGACTGATAGCCTCGTTCACTGGGAGGCGAGAGTTGCGGTTGAGGAGGGATGCACTACTGAAATCAGGGAGCCCGCTGCACCATTGCTGCTTCTGGCAGCACCTGGAGGTATCCAAGACGGGGAGCTGGACACCCTCATCCTTAGCTGGCACCTGCAGGCCCAACCGCATGCGCTTTGCACAGCTCCGACTCACATTTTCCTTGTTCTACCTAGATATACCACGACCAATGGTGTCACGAGGAAGACCCGTGTGCCTCTTACATTCAACAATCGCTGTGTCCACCTGCCGATCTTCCGAAGTGTAAGCAGCATAGCGTGTGATTGGCTTGCCTATGACCTCATCTCTATCATTGTGCATCTGGGTGAATCAGTTCTCACAGGACACTACAGAACCGTTGGCTTGATACCGGGCAGGACAGAAGCCTGGTACATGGACGACGGTGTCGCATCGGAAAGGCTTGAAACCTTAAGTCCCGAAATCCAGTCCAACTGTTATGTGCTTGGCTGCATCCGCAGGCCCCCTGCTGGGGAAAGCGGATCGGCCTGACGATGAGAGCTTATTTTTAGTTGTTTTGCAGTATACATGTACAAAGAGCACAGGTAGAACATTCCTCCAGTAGACGTGTAGGCAAAAGCTTTTCTTCAACCTTGAACTTTGGCTCAAGCACTGCGTAAAAAGTGCGTCTTGCATCTCTAAGTTGAGTTTGCACTCAAACAACTGGTTATCAGCCGTACCCTCCGGGGTACGAGCTGCGGCCTTCACATCCTAAACTTCCTTCCGTATCTGGTGAGAGTTCGGCCGTAGGTAGCAACCTGAGCCATTGCTGCCTCCTTGCCTCACTCCCAAACAACCCCAACTGCTGTCTGTATCCTAGCGATCGCGTCCTGCGACCTAGGTAGCACAGTATCTTGGTGAACGACAAGTCTTGCCTCCATACCTGAATCTCCGAAAGCCTAACGCTCGCATCCTGCGACCTAGGCGTGCAACACTGTGTGACCCGAAGTGGAAGTGGTAAGAGCCCGCATTCTGGATTGCTCCCACTGCCCAACACAACCTTCCAAACTGCTTGTGACGTCCACTCAGATTAACTTTGCTGCAAAGACACCGTGCTCGACAAACCAAACGCTCCGACCTCAGATTTCCGGGTGCTGACTTAGTGATCGCGCGCCGCGACCTAAGTGTGGGATAGCCTCCCGCCTCTTGTCACGTCTAGACTCAGAGCTGGCTCGAGTTAGCGTTGGGCCCAGTCTACTGCCTAGGTCCTGCGTTGTTGTAATCACGGATTCTGGGAGTGGGCGTCGCCAGCGCGGCGGCAAAAGTGGCCGTCGCGACCACAGACGTGAGGTCTTGTGGACATTTACCAGCGAGCGAGACACAATTGCACAGCTGCGCGATCCTTCCGAGCTTCAGCTCCGTATCCTACACTTCTGCACTCGTGCTGTCGAAGCCTCCAAGGGCCGCGAACTGTGGGATTTCGAGGACTCGAGGGCTTTCGCTGATCATTTGGGTATTGAGGAAGACCTCCGCGCAGCTTTGTTTGACCCGGACCCCGTTGCTGGTGTTGCCGTGAGCGCGTGGCCACAGCCATCGCAAGCTCCTGAGGACCCTTGTCTCGCAAGAACCAACGCTCCTGAGTTTCTGCAAGGTCCAGTAAGAACCAATCTGAGGAACAGACCCCCTACTCCACCTCGTGCCAAGGTACGCCTGCGGTCGTCGTCCTCCTTGCACAGGTCCCGATCTCCATCGCGCTTGCTGGGCCATCAGCCCCAACGCGTCCTACTGGCGATTGACTTCCACCAAGTGTTGGACAAGTGCTGGGCTGACACGCGCTCATTTCTGCGTGATCTGCAAGCGTATCATAATCCCAACATCGCACTAGAGCTTGTGATCTTATCCTACTGCGGCCACAAGCGAAGGGTCGAGACTCGAGGGACTTTGCGAAGGGAGCTCGTTCAGCCGATCCGCACGGAGTTCACTGATCAACCCACCGGTCCTCTTGGCAAGGCTAAGCATCTGCAGGCTTGTGCTCAGGCAGAAGGGTTCGACCACGTTGGATTGCTTGACGATAGGGACGACATCACCTCCGAGTGTGAGACCTACGGTTTCAAGCCCTTCCTTGTCACCCCACATCTGTATCTGACGCAGTTGTGGCCGCGAGTCAGGTCTTGGCTGAACAGCTTGGCCCAGTAAAGAGCGCTGTGCTGCTTCACACACTGCTCGTTCGCAAGTGCGACGGCAGTGAAACCCAGAACACCACCCACTGAGTTTCTCGTGCCCATAGTCCTCCCAAATTCTTTGGTTGAGTAGACTTGGCCCTAGGAAAAACCTACCCAAAATCACGTTTCGCGCAATTCCCTACATCCTAAACCCATTCAAGGCACCCGAACACGCGTGCTGAGGGTTGAGCTTTGGTGCCTATTTGCTCGTTCGCTAAGCGACAGCAGAAATACACCAATAATCCCCACATTTGCCTAGTGTTTTCCAGGCATTCACAACGTTGAATCTACTTTCAGCCCCAGACTTGCTCGGATAAGCCTTTTGAGCTCGTTCATATGGCGTTTTCCCCGCCTGACACGAGTGAAGAATCTTCCTTGCAGTTCACAAGTAGTGCCAGTGCTGAGGATTCGCGCATGGTGGCTCTTCCCGCTGCGGTAGGCCAATCCGCACGTTCTGAGTCTTCAAGCTCACAGGGTCCTGGGAAAAGGGTGATAAAGGTACACAACGCAAAGAGACAGGGCAGTAGATCTAGCAGTGTTGAGAGGTTGGCACTTGCTCCCGCTGCCTTGGCCCCACCGTACGCATGCGTGCGTCGTGAGGCGTCCCCATCCCCAGGAACCCCAGCTCCAGCAAGTGGACCTTGCTCATCCTCAGGCTTTCACTCAGTGCCGAGTGTCAATCTGGTTAAGCATCAGGAGTTGCATCAGGAGCTTCACCAGCATTTGCATGTTGATGTTGATGTTGATGCTCAGCGTGTCGCAGATGAGGCACGCCGCGTTGTGCAACATGTGCAAGGCCAGGCACAGCTTGAAGTTGAGCGCGTGCAGGGTCAGGCGCAGTTACACGCGCAAAACGTTGAGACTCAGGCCCAAAGGCATGTCCAAGAGGTGGAGACGCAAGCCCAGCGCGTTGTAGCGAACACGCAAAGCCAAGCCAGTGAATACGCGCTGCATGCTAGGGACGCTGTTTTACAAGCAAACCGCGAAGTTGAGATGCTTAGGCAACAGCTACAACAAAGAAATGAGATGATTGACCACTTGTCGCGCGAAAACGCTCGCATGCAAGCCAACAATGGCGCGGAACATGCCTCGCCAACTGCCTGTAGACCCCCTGTGCTGCCTATGCCTCCTGCGTCGGTTCATTCTCCATCGCAAGCCTCTCATGCAGAGTCCCAGGGCTCTGTTGCGTCAGAACTGCGAGATGAGCTGCGAGAGGAGCTCCGTCAGAGTAGGGATAAGATGCACGAAGCTGTAGTCACAATGACGCAGCAAGTAGGTGAGGCCATGCAATCCATGCAACAGCAAATCAACGTGCTCTCAGCGCAAGTTGCGAGATCATCACAGCAGTCCGTCATCGGCGCAACGCCTGCCGCTTCCACTCATGCCTCTCGGGCGTTCGCGTCAGGCGACCCCGATGATGACGATGACGACGACGACGACGACGACGACGACGACGCCGATGATGACGAAGATGACGATGACCGCGACTTTGGTCTAGGTGCCGGTGCTTCTGCCAGTCCTGGAGGCTCGCCGCCCGCGAGCTCCAGCGCGGCTGCCGGAGCCATGCCCAGCGAAGACCAAGTCTATAAAAACAAAGACCTTTCGGGAGTGACCATCCCGACGCTCCCCACTGATGCTGCCAGTTTCAGGGGTTGGAAGAACTCCCTGATTGCAAAGCTAGCTTCTCTTGACCGAACTGGAAATGGTGTTATCATGAGGTGGATACAGGAAGCCTTTCAACCTTCGACGCTTGTGTTGCAAACTGCCCTGGAGTCGTCATCAGGTGGTCTGCCGCGTCTAGACGCGTGGATCGCGGGTCAACTTGGCGAGCCAAAACACATGCATGGCGAGATCGGGCTTCGCTTCCAGTCCTACCTTGAGAAAACCCAGATCCTTTCTGTCCCGCTTCGCGGCAGGATGATGCTCCACGAAGTTGCAAAATCCTTCGCGTTAGACCGCATGAGAGGGGCGAACCTGACACAGCAGGCTCTCCTGGAGTTACCGCTTGACTCCTTCAGCCAAGCAGACTTGCGAGCTTTCTTCCACAAAGTGGAGTACATCCTCAACAGCATCCCTCCGGATTCGCAGCCGTCTGAGCAGACAAAGTTTGTGTTCCTGTACGAGCGCCTGAAAAGGTGCAATGGGATGAGACGGCACATAGACAGGATCCGTGACTCAGCGCTGACCTCAAAGCGCAGATCCTTCGCGTGGCTTTGGCGTAGGTTTGGGGAGTACTTAGACGAGTTAAGGGAAGATGCCAACCAAGATTCCATTCGCAAAGCCTTAACCACTCCACAGAAGCCCTCGCGTAGGGAACAGAAGCAGCAAGCTGCTGCTGCAGCTGCCAAGGCTGCTGCGGTGCCAAAGGCACCTCCTCCGACAAAGCCGGAAGTTCCAGGACAACCAGGGCCTAGACAACCGCCGCCCAAGAAGCCACCAAAGGGTGCTGCCAAAGGCGAGGGCAAAGGTGACAAAAAGGCCAAAGGTCTAGGGAAGG